AGATGTGAGGCATGAAGACTGTCGGTAATGTCGCTACAAGGAGTGATAATTATGATTTTCAATAATTTTGGCTTATCAAACAGGCAGCGCATTCGTGTATGGTGCTGAATGGCCATAGGCCTAGGCCTTAGGTAGCCTACTCCCAAAGGGACGAGTTTTAAGTGTACCGTTGCACATAGCCCCATAAATGTGGCCTATTTACTGGACTGCCTCCGTAAACATAGGCCACACATCCACATGTACAAAAACGTGTCGCACTTTGCCAAATTTTGATTTTCGCATTAAGGCTTAGGGGCCATTCAGAATCTTCAATGTTTTAAAATTTCGACTTTTTTTCCAAATTATTTTGACCCACCCACCCACCCCTAATTTCGATTAATAAAAAAAACTGAACATGTCCATGTACATGCACTTGCATGTACATATACTTGAACATGAACATGTATACCCCTGTAGGCCCTACATGTGTGTCTAGTTCAGTGACGGCGTGAAGTTATCGGTCTTCCTCTGTTGCACTGCTGACCTTCAGTTTTCTTGTGTTATGCCAGCTGATATGCTGTTGGGAAAGACAGGTTGCAGTTTTGGAAGCCACAAAGATGACCGTGGTTTTGTCGTTTTTTTGGATGAGGTGGATGACATGTGACATACGAGGTTGCGCCTGTCACGTGTTTGCAGGGCGGGGGGTACGAGCGAAAGAAAAACATCAGGTTAGGGCAGACATCACATCACAGGCTGCGGTCCTCGTAGTCTTGGAGTCCAGTGGTTGAATAGTCCAGTTTTTATAGCTATTGGCAATCGACGCCCGCGGCGTGTTATAGAGCCGATCTAGTACACCTGGTACCCTGCTGCCTCTGCACGGCCTATAACCGCTACAAACACCTGGTGTCCAAGTCTACTGAAAAACCACCTCCCTCTCATGCATGCCACAGTGGGTCTATATACACGTAAATGACATACATGTACAGTACATACAGGGGACGAAGTTGGAAAAGAAACACGCATCGCGATATCGGAACGCTTGCGCGTAGTTCAGGCAAGTTAAAAGATCTATCTTTCTTTTCTTTTTTATCTTTTTCCATGGAAAGTGAATTTCGATTTTCAATTATTTAGCTTGACCCACCCACCCACAATTTGGAAAAAAGATCAAAATTTTAAAACATTGAAAATTCTGAATGGCCCCTTTGTTTGTAGGTTTTTTTTGCTTTAGAAGCATACTCACCCTCTTTATAGGCTAATCAGAAAGTGCTGCCTTTTTCAGATGTATATTTTCGTGAAATTTCCAGATTCATTTTTACAGGTTTGCGTATCAAAATTTCAACATGAAATTTCACAAAATTAGACATCTGAAAAAGGCAGCACTTTCTGACTAGCCTATAATTAGGGTGAGTATGCTTCTAAAGCGGTAATCCTTACTTTTAGGACACCTCTATTTTTTACGAGTTCTTTTCAAAACTGACTTTTGCAGATGACTGTCCAGTACCAAAGTGACTTTTGCAAGCTAAAGCAATCTTTTTTCTTCATATAAACCCATGTTTGTTGTAATTTTGAAAGCACTTTCAAAGAAAATGTGACTTTCCTACCTTTTTTCACAGTCAGAGGTGCATGATGTAGTTCTCACAACACAGTGAAAGCCCTACATAATGAAAGCTTGATGCTGATTGGCTGCAAAAGAAAATTAATAAGATGTTTATTTTTTACCAGCCAATCAGCATCGAGCTTTCATTATGTAGGGCTTTCACGTTTGCCATCTTGGATTTTGAGTCTGTTTTCTGGTTGTCATCGTCGTCTTTTACCCCTGAATTTCCCTCATAAATCAAAGCCCTGCCCTCTTTCCACAAAATTATACCTGCTGATATTCAAGAAGGTGTCATTGCCAATTGTTTAGATGTGCCAAGAAATATCAGAATGTCACTTTTGAGTGTCATTTAGTCAACTGTTTTGGTGAGTCTTCCCCTTCCTATATAGGAACGGGGTCCTAAAAGTAAGGATTACCTCTAAAGCAAAAAAAATCCTACAAACTAAGCCTAAATGTGAAAATCAAAATTTGGCAAAGTGCGACACGTTTTTGTACATGTGGATGTGTGGCCTATGTTTACGGAGGCAGTCCAGTAAATAGGCCACATTTATGGGGCTACGTTGCACACAATCTGTCAAAACAATACAATAAATCTTGCAGTGGTAGTACATCAGAGCAATACACAGTGTACTGAAATAAATATACATGTATAAACAATTCCCAACTGGATATTCATTTTGAATGTCGCACAAAATATTATTTCACACGAGTTGCGCTCACAGCGCACATCGCGACTGCGGTGGAGACTATACAAACTCGCTACACACACAGCGCGGGTCAAAGGTCACCCACGAGGAACCGCTCTATAACGCGCGCCAGTAGTAGCGCAGCACTGTGTGCGTAATACTAATAGCAGGGCCCAATTTCATAGAGCTACTTAAGCACAAAATTTGCTTAAGCACGAAAAAACATTGCTGTAAAATCACGTAACCCGGCAAAACTCCATGCGATGTACATTGCTTGTGACTGGTATTTAGCTGTTGTTTACTTAGCATAACAATCGAGTGGAGTTTTGGCCGGTAACCTGATTATATTAAGCAAGATTTTTTTGTGCTTAAGCAAATTTTGGGCTTAAGCAGCTCTATGAAATTGGCCCCTGTTCATATGCACATCGCCTCAATAACGCATCTTAGCTTTGTACACACAACACATTAAACTTTGTGAGAAAGCCGGGAGCTCGTTATGCACACAAAACACTGCCGTTCATGAAAATAAGGCAACATAACGGTCAGGAAAATAGCACTCACCAGTCAGCAAGTGTCCAACTGTCCTCTCAATAAGGAACTTCCGACCCAACAAAGATGATTTGTGCTACGTCCTACGAAGAAGAGGCTTTCATGCGTACAATTACGGAGCTTGACTGGCCGGATGCCATGAAAGCTAGAAGTCTAGTAAAGACGGTGTCACATGAAAATCCGACTCCTATGAAAATCGGACCCCTTTTTCCCTTTTATTGGTTAATCCCTCGCACGTGACAGGTCACTCTCCCCAAACGATCTAGACTTGGCCAAGTCTGGGTTGCGCTCGGTCTGTGCCTAAATCCACTCACAGCGCATATCGCATACGTCCTTACCAACGCGCGCCCTTTTGCACCACATGTATGCGCATGCTCTGCAATACATGCACACACATGTAAATGTACATGTACGTGTAATACGCGTATTGTACAATGTACATTATACAGTGCGTGCGTGAAGTAGAACGCACGCTGAAGTGTACCTTGTCGGGCATCTGGAAAGGCATAAACTAAGTGATTTTCGCTGCTTTTTTATTTAAGATACCGACTTGGGGCAATTCCGACTTGAGTCAAGTCTACAAACGATCCTAAAAATAGCATAGTATCGTACTCACGCGTGCGCACTACTACCAATGAGTCCACATTTCATGGAGTCGGATATTCACGCTACACCGGCATGCAACGCGCGCGTGCACGTGCCTTGGTGACCGTAAGGTCATGACTAAATTCTGCTAAATGCGCTTCAAAAATCTGTCAGATTTATTAAAAATCTGCCAAATTATCCAGAATTACTCGAAATACACTATAAAACACTTTGAATAATAATTATGTACCACTCATGGACCTGTATACAATATACCAAGTCTCCCCTATAACCGCTGCATTTTGTGCTTACGCAAACTCTTTAGGCCTTTTACCAAAAAAAAGTAAAAGTGACACACAAACAGACATCAGACAGACAGATATCAGACAGAATTCGTATATATTATCTTTTAATATATTTATATTATTTGTAGTCGAGTGTCCAAATGAGTAAAGTATTGTTTCTTGTGGATGAGAAATGAATGTTTGCACACTTTGAGCACTGAACTGGATTGAGTTCAGTCCATTGATTGAAATTATTTAGCAGAACATGCAACAAATTATTAAGCATTAAAAATTATAGTGGCATGTATAGTGGAACCTTATATTTTTTAAAGATTGCCCGATGCCTGTTATACGATAATCATATGCATTACGTATTTGACCCCTCCGTAAAACAAAAAGGAAAACCTTTAGGGAAGAGGCGTGTCCCCATGCACCCACCTAAGTTCGCTGTATTTATTTTAAGGAATGTTTATCGTCTTGATGTATTATTTCGTGTTGAAGTATGCCTGTAGACCGAAGTTCAATTATACGCTTAATACATGTAAAGTCAAATTCTGATCACATTTTCGTTTCACGTCTGTTGCTCAAGTAATACTTGTTCATGTACGTGAAAGCCTAGTTTAATTTCTCCCAGCAGTTTGACAGTTACTTATTGCAGTAGTTGAATCTCAGGAGATGCAATCGGTCGCCGGTCACGAAGAGGGTGACCGTAAGGTCATGACTAAATTCTGCTAAATGCACTTCAAAAATCTGTCAGATTGATCAAAAATCTGCCAAATTCCCCAGAATTACTCGAAATACATTATAAACACTTTATATAACATAAAGATGTTTTAAATACTGCCTTAATTAATGTTCAACTTACATTATAAACAATCTATAGCCACATAAAGATAATATGAAATTGCGTAAATTTCAGGCAAAACGTGGTTGCGCCACGACGAAATCCGGTTCCCAGTGAACCTCAGCACCCCTATTTTGCAAGGGTTTGTTTGAAAAGATTGAAGCTTTTGTAAACAAATGTGTGTTTTGTTTTTTTTATTTGCTGTTTTTCTGTCAAATAGGCATTTTTGCAGAATTCTGCCAGAAATCTGCCAAAAAAATCCATTCTGTCAAATTTTCTGTCCAACTCATTTTTTAACAAAAAAATCTGTCGAAGTTAGCAGAAAATCGGCTAAAACGGTCACTATGGTCACGAACGCTTATAGGCCTGAAGCACTAATTGTATTGTGGTGTCTTAACAATGGCACCACGATGAAGTAAATTTCATTGGAGCCCTTCAAAAGATCGTCGTTCAAACCAAGGTCTGACAAGGTCACCTAGTTGATTCATACGCAGTTTGCACAGTTTGCCAAACTCAAGCGAATACATTTCACCTCGAGACAACAATGAGCAGTGCATGGAATAGGCTTGCCGCACACACAGTGGGCAAGGCTGTACTCAGGGACACAACCTGAAATAATCCCTCGGCTCGGAATTTCAAACCAACGTTCAATTCAGTGGGACGAGAAAGGAATATCGTCAACGTGCATTGCGTGAGTCGGTGTTGCCGATACTCATGATCACCGTTCTAGGATTAACTCTTAGATGCCAAGCGAATTTAAGTAGGCCTAGCTATTAGTTTCCATCGTTCGCCATTACCGCTCTATGGTTTGCTTCAGGCCTGTGTCAGTTTTGACCAAGACCAAATTCGTGGCGCTGCTTAACCGAACAAAAAGGTAAGTCTGTTGTTCTTAAGTAAGATTTGAGGCTTTGCATGGTGGAGACTAAATAATGAAAGGTTTGTGGAAACACCATGTGCGAATAATTTCTCAACTAAGAGAATGGTTCTGAAAAGAACCAGAGGTATCTGTTGTTCTTAGGCCTCATTAGGCCGATCAAGCGTGATAATTGCCATGTAGGACTATATCACAAACTGCACGTTCTTTGAGGCACTTTTTAAAAGTCATATCATGTACAGAGTGGAAATTAGTTTCAGCTTTGTGGTTCGATCAAACCATTTTGCTTAATACATATTTTGCTTATAACAACGAAATGAAGAATGTGCTTGGCCGATTTTCAATAAGTAAAGTGGTGTTCCCTAACGTGGCGCACTTCGACGTTTACCGACTTTCCTCGTGTATTGTTGCCAAACCGCTTTGTTGACGAACCTCCAATTCATGCAGTGAAATACTGGTACTTTTACCTAATTAATGCTTGCTATTTAACCTGTGTGTACAATTTCGGTGTCATGAAATTTAATCCAAATTTAAAAAACGATGGCGTCCGGAAATTGGGCGAAAATTGGCTTAGTGTTCCCTTACGTGGCGCACTAAAATAAATCTCGGAAAATTCCAAATTAACATTTGAGCATTTCTGTAAAGTTGATAAATTCTGATAAATCATTACTATCTCTACTTATATACCCAGCCAGAAGTTTGTCAAAAAAATATTTTAATATTTTTTTTTGGGGGGGGGGGGGCATTTTCAAAGGATTCACTTTGCACTGCAAAATAAAATCGGATAATCACGCCAAAATAATGTTTTCTTCTAACTTTGTAACGGGCTGTGTTACAACTGATAATGTAGTAACCAACTGATAATGTATCACCAACCGATAATGTTACACAAATTGACCGATACTGTATCACTAACCGATAATGTAACAGAAATTGACCGATAGTGTAGTAAATGTTACTACACCATCGGTCAATATTTGTTACATTATCGGTTAAGACCGATAATGTATCAACAATCGACTGATAGTGTAGTACACACTATTGGTCAATTTCTGTAATTATCGGTTAGTGATACAGTATCGGTCAATTTGTGTGAAATTATTGGTTGGTGATACATTATCCGTTGGTTACTACATTATCAGTTGTAACAGGCTGATAAACTCGCGATTTATGAACGGGAGTGTTTAGCACTTGATCAAATTTCACTTCCTGTGAAATTTCAGTTAAAACTTGGCTCTGGTAGCTAGGTGCTACAGGCGAAAAATCAAAGTGCCCCACGTTAGGGGCTGCGCCACGTTAGGGTACATCAACAATATACACGTTATTCCGACAAGGGACATTGCCATTTTTATCGGCAATCCGTAACCAGGCTCCTAGCCGGATTGAAAGATAGAGTAGATCATTTGTCATTTGTGCATGTTTTTTTTCGTTTGAAGCAACAAAAGTTCTCGGTGCTTAACAACTTAGCTCAGTGAATGTTGTATATATTCCGAATAAACAATATTCTGGGATCTCGATTTCAATTCAAAATCTGCCGAGTCATGTTTTGAATTGCGCCCGAAATCAGCAAAGTTAACACCGCAGCGACGGGATACTTGTATAAGGGCGGATCCAGGGGGGGGGGGCAAAGGGGGCCATGCCCCCCCCAAAAAAAAAAGGATCAATTTTTTTTTCAGTGACTTCGCAATAAAGGCAGGCAATGAATACACCAACTTTTCCTCAAAAAACATTGTTTAAAGTGGTCTTAAATTGCCTCAGATCGCACCACAGAGCATCTAGAATCCAAGAAAATTTCGGGGCCCTTAAGCGGGCCCCGAACCCCCTCGCTGTAATTTTTTTGGACACACTTTTTGGGGACCACATATTTTTTTCGCCCCCCCCCAAAAAAATTGTGTTCTGGATCCGCCCTTGTACTTGTACACCGCGCTGCACTTTCCTAGGGGAGCAAGGTTTTATCGCTATCTAGAGCAGAGACTATCTATGCCACTTCGGTAATCGGCCATGAACTGGGCCGAACACGGTCAAAAAGATCGAATGCATTTTCAGATGTCGAATACATACATGTGTATGTACATGTACACATGTACATGTTCACATGTGCCTAATTCGTAACCGGCGGATGTTTTATGTCGAACAAAATGCATTCAAAACGTTGAAGAAAGTTCGGTTTGTAAAATTTCAGTTTGAGGAAATGCGTTCAAAACGTAAAGACGTTCGGTTTGTAAAAATTTCATTCGGTTTTAGGAAATGCATTGCAGCTGGGCTGGTAAAACACACATTTGATTGAAAGATATATTTGATTTAAAGATGCATTAATTTGATTTAAAGATGTATCGATTTTTAGAAATGCGTTCGCTTTTGGGAAATGCATTCCGATTACCAGAACTTTCATTATAACACTGTTATTTCGGTTGTGTACTATATGAACCTAGCAACCAAAATTTGAATGCACGTTGAGATCAACATTCAATTACCTAAAAAACACCAATCAATTTCACATTAGAAGTATGCGATTTCATATTTCAACCATGCAATTTCAAAAATAGGGCATTCAAATTAAAATTGCACAAACGAGCATCCAAATTCGCCGGAGCTTCCAGCTGTGTAAATTTGGTCATTCGAATTCACCATTATAAGCAAGCATAATGTGGAAAGCAAGAAAAGTTATTCGAAATAGGTCCATGTCGTTCCGTTGTTGTAAAAATAAGATTGAGTGTTTTTTGTTACAATTTGGAAATATAGATAATAAAAACCTGTCTCCCACAAGACTCTGCCACTGCTCTGATCACCATGCAAACTGTAAGATTGAAGCACTAGAAACATCAATATGCCAGCTCATGGGCGTTACATGAGAATTTCAAATGTAGGCCGTGGTCATTTGATCGAAGCTTTCGATGTCAATGCCCAAGGCTATCTATAACTTGCAGACAATCTTGGCATAAACAGATCTACTGCTGCAGGTCAATTGTAGCCGCGTATCTGAGATCTGGCAGACGTGAAAACCTACCAAGAGCAGTGGCGTCGCCAAGGGGGGGCCAGGGGGGGCACGTGCCCCCCCTGGAAAACCTAGTGCCCCCCCGAGTGCCCCCCCCCCCCCATCTGAGATTTGGGTTGGTAAAAAAATATATATATATTTTGTTATATTCAACTCCCATCATCTGAATTGGTTAAATAGCAATTTCTGGAGATATCTTCAGATCGAATTTAGCATCAAATGTGGCACCATTTTGCATCTAGCCCATCCTCCGTATGCGAAAATTTTCCAAAGGGGAGGGGGGCACCCCCTCCCCTTAGACCCCACCCCCAGGACGGCGATCCGTATCCACCTAAGTGCCCCCCATCAAATGCTGGTGCCCCCCCTGTGCCCCCCCCCCCCCCAGACTGAAAAGTCTGGTGACGCCACTGACCAAGAGGATGGGTCAGAAACACAAAATGGACCACGGCATGAAGCAGAAATAATCAAAAGGTGAAAGAAATGAAAAGACTCGCATCGTATACCTTCGTTTACTTTCATTTTGAATGCACAGAGTGCTAAACAGAATGCGCGGAAATGAAAACGAAAACAAGAATCTCATGCCAATAACTCTAAACCAAACCGACTGCTATAATTTGAATGATCACTTAAGCCGAATGACATAACTTCAGTTTAGGATGTGTTAAACTTGAAAACGTCAAGTCTTAAAACGAATTGGAAGGCCTGAAATCTAATACGAACCACGGGAATGACAGCATGGCGCTACTTCGCTTCAAATTGGCCACTATCAAGATGAATTCGAATGCAGTTTTTGTGAATTGGCCGGGAAACCTATATTTACTAACGGAAATTGTATAATCTATGAGAAACCAAATTATGTTTTCCCCTTTCCCAAAACCTTTGAATTGCGTTTGAATTCAATTGGGCGTTGTCGCGCTTCAATTGAAAAGCATCCTATGGATAAACGTTTATCGCCATTGACGGTATTTCGCTGCCAGAGGTCCAGGTCAAATGCTGTTAACCCTCAAGGGTACCGTGTATTGTTGTCCGAAGAAAAAAAATATTTCCGTGAAAAAAATCTTGTCAACCGAAATGAGTTATTGTCCATTTAAGTTGTTATGGTACAATACTGACGCAGGTTCAAAGTGACGAGTATAAGGTGTGGAGGTATTCAGGGTATTATACTCTGCACGCAATTATATACACCCACTGCCGGACTGTTCAACTTGGCTGACGCAATCATCAAAGCGCCGTCAGAACCGTTCCACACGGCATTCACGGTGGTTGATTTTTTTTGAAAACAAAATAGCAGCGCAGCCCTCCCACGCACCCCCAAGCAAAGCCCAGTCCTTTATTGCTGAGCCTGACTGACCCGAAAGTGGGCGAGATTTTCAACGAGACAAACTTGTAATGGGACTGAAGGACAGTTCGATTGACTTCCACGACTAGTGCTTCACTTAAAGGGAATATACAACATTTGAAAACAAAACATTAAAACAAAATCCAACTACCGAATTGTTACGAAATACCTTACTGGACTCTTACTGTAAGTGAGTGACAGTCTAAAGCATCCTGTAAAATCATGGCACCTGGTGTGCTGGCATATTGAAGAAAAGTGGTCGTTTTGTATCATTTTCCAACGTTGGTCGGCCGACCAGCGTTGGAAAAAAAACTGGCCTTTTTCAAATACTGCTCCCAATTTATCAAAGTTATTTTAGTCCGCATTTTGTTTGCAATCGATTGTACCCATGAAGGAGTGCAAGCCGGCTAGACTGGTTCCCTGACCTTACCATTTCTCCGTTGTCGATAAATTGCTCCGTTTCATCTTAAAGAGAATGCACAGCATTTGCTTTTGCTGCAATTTTCAGAAGCAAATGGATTTGGAGGGTTAGTATGTTATAGAAAATAATTATTGTTAAACTGACTTGTTTCACGTTTTGGGCTTGTAGATGCTACGGAAACCAAGAAAACCTATCATGTTCTTGTAGTCTGGTTCCCTGGCCCCACTTAAGATGAAACAGAGCAATTAATACCCTTTGGGGAATTGTAAGGTCGGCAAATCAGTCTAGCTAGCAGGCGTGTACCTCTTCACAGGCGTGTAATCAATTGCAAAGAAAAGTCAGAATAACTAAAATTGAAAAAATTAGGAAAGGTTATTTGAAAAAAAAGAAAAAAAAATTATCCAACGCTGATCGGCCGACCAGTGTTTGAAAAATACAGTTTTTCTTGAAATTTTCAGCACACCAGGAGCCACGATTTTAAAGGATGCTTTAGACTGTCAATTCCCTAACAATCCAGTAAGGTTTTCGTGATAATTTGATCATTTCGTTTTGTGACGTTTGTAAATGCTGTATCTTCCCTTTAAGTAGGGTAAGGGAACCACACTTAAGAAACATGATAGTTTTTTTCTTTGTTTTACCATCATCTACGAACCCAAAACTTCAAACAAGTAGTATAACAATATTTGTTATAAAATACTACCCCCCCCCCAATCCATCACTTTCAGGAAAGTATAACAACAAAAGCAAAACGTTGTATATTCCCTTTGCATTTCCAATCAATCAATTGGCTTATTATAAGTAAATCATATTAATTATACCAAAAACAACTTACAGGTTGACTGGTGAACCTGGTTCCTGAATTCTTGAGCTTCCACTAAAGACACTGAAGTGGGCGAGATTTTCTACGAGACAAATTGGTAATGGTACCTTTACAAGAACAGTTCGATTGACTTCCACGACAAACACTTCGGCCTGAGGGAGACATGGGTCCACCGACAAGAGCAGCGAAGATGCTCCTAGTCATTATGACATTTCTTGGATTGATACAGAGAGGCCGAGGGATTGCGCCGGCAAGTGAGTATATTGCATCATTTCTTAACAAACTCCCCAACAGTAAAACTTGCATGGATTTACTGTCAGATTTTGAACACAAATCGTGGAAATTTAATGAGATTTAACTCCCTGTAAAATAATCTATGAGAGCACCACTGTATTAATCAGCAAGGAAATGCAAAAGATTCTGTATTGCACCGCTTCTTTAATAATGATAACAATTACTCAAGGTGCTGGAAATTATGTCTCTTATTCAAGACAGGTAAATGAAGTTTATGAGAAAATATGAGACCCATTATGTAGCACCTTATAAGGGTGCTGCGGCGCATATTGCAGCCACTCCCAGAAACACCGGGGCAAACCCCTTCTCTTAGCGATAAGTGTTACTGGGTTCTTTAACGTGCATAACACAAGACATGGGACCTACGGCTTTACGTTCCATCCGAAGGACGAAGCAATTGTGGTAAAGTGCCTTGCTCAAGAGCACAAGCACCAGGATTCGAACCCAAGTACCATGGCACACGATTGGACCACAGCACCCCACAATTCACTATGAGAAACACCAGCTATATATGCGCTTGCCAGCTGTCCAATGACTGTTATGCAAACTTGCAAATGAATTTTCCCGTTTATAGAGTCAATGATAATGATTATTTCAACTCAAATGTACTGACAACATGCATTGAGAAATGATTTTAAACGGTAAACTAAAATATGGGCAACAAACCAACTGCAGAAGCTCTTGTGCAAATTCTTCGCAATGGTTGGTCAGTTTTGTTTTTACCCTATTTGACCAACAATGAGGTAACTTCAAGTTCATGTTGAGCACGTATTGCCAAATAGTGTTTACCCAACTTTGTACAAATACTAGTGTAGTATAGGTACCGTTTGCATTGAACCGGTCAAACGCTCAACACAGCCTGACGACTGTAGTTCAGTCACAACGTGCGTGACGCGCTCTAAGGCAACTCGAGGATAAATTTAGAAACTTCAGCATTCCATTTATTATATTTGACCCCATTTAATATAGGCAGCAACTCGAGAATACAAAGCATTCTTTTTATTATAGTTGGCCCCATTTTAGTGTAGGCTTGCTTGGCCATTTTCGCAACTTGTTCATTCAGTCGGACAAAATAGGCATTCCTTTTCATGAAGTTTTAGGGAGTCTGTACGAATGTCAGTTTCTATTTCGGAGTTGCATTTGATTTTGCTTGAAATGTATCAAATTAGTTGTAACGTTTTCGTGTGAGCATATTCCAACTCGTTTGTTTGTTTTCAGTTTCGCACAGAGTAGGCCAACTTGATTAAAATTAAATGTTCGTTTTATAACAAAATTGCATTCAAATGAGCAGACGACTTAATTTGGTGTTTCCATATCGCCAAACCTTACTCGTGTTGGCGATAAGAAAATTTCATTTAAAGAAATTTGAACCAGTTTTATTACATTTTCATTGTTATGGCATTTCCGAAAAGTGATCACACAAATTGACTAATCGGTCACTGTAGAGCGCAAAGGAAGATTTGTTGCAATTATGCAACATTCATTTCCTTCTATCACTTTGACACTTTTGTGCTGTGCATTTTTCATATTTCATTCCATGCAGGCACTTACATTTTTTTGGAATAGCTGTACATTCTTATAAAAATCTTTCTCAAAATTCATGTTATTTTACTGTCCGTTTCAAAACTATAACACAATTTATTGCCGATGCAACTGCCCGTTTTTGCTGAGCATGTGTTACTTAAAATATGAATGAAATTGAATTCCCGAATAGGACTTCCGAAAGCTCACGAAATTCAATGCAAAAGCAATTAAAGTAACTAGCTGGCTTCTTTTCACAAGTGAATATTATAGTAGGCCTACCCTGGAATATCTCGACTTTCGCTAAATGGAATCAGTGTGATGAAACGCTTGCACGTTTTAATGATCATTCGTTTGATTGAAAGACAAGTTGCGAAATTGGAAGGGAAAACCTCCAGTATATCACAACATTATAGACAGCGGCTGAAACTCACCCCCAGAACGCCAAGGTCTATGCCAACCATGGTCGTTGTAAATCAATTTAGGTTTTTGCCCTTCACCGACGTATAAACACTTTATACTCAGTGTGTTACCCCCGAGTGAAAGTTGGAAAACAATCACTCGGGTGGGAATCGAACCCACGGCCTCCTGCTTTCTAGTGCAGACGTCTTACCACTCGACCACCGAGCTAGCGGGATCGGTTAGCTGGTTCGAATCTGATGTACATAGGTACATCAGCTTCGAACCAGCCAACCGATCCCGTACATAGGTACATCAGATTCAACCTAGCCAACTGATCCGTAAGCTCGGTGGTCGAGTGGTAAGACCTCTGCACTAGAAAGCAGGAGGTCGTGGGTTCGAGTCCCACCCGAGTGATTATTTTTCAACTTTCACTCGGGGGTAACACACTGAGTGTAAAGTGTTTTTACGTCAACTACTGTTTCTGATGTACCTACGTACATTGGTTCATCAGATTCGAACCAGCCAACCGTTCCCGTAAGTTCGGTGGTCGAGTGGTAAGACCTCTGCACTAGAAAGCAGGAGGTCGTGGGTTCGATTCCAAGCCGAGTGATTTTTTCCCAACTTTCACTCGGGAGGTAACACACTGAGTATACAGTGTTTATACGTCGGTGAAGGGCAAAATCCGAAATTAATTTTCTTCACCCCGACGCAAACTGAATTCCATCTTATGAATAAATGGTCGTAATGTTTACTAAGGCCAAAAAAAAGTCTCCGGTTTCTGGTATGCGCGCGCGTCGCCGTAGCCATGCGCGTCGGCAAAATGAAAAAAAAAAAATTTCAATAAGAGATGATGTCTCAAAACCGCCAAACTCACTGGTTTGACTGGAATCCTGCTGCTGCACAATTTTAACGTGTTTTTAGATGGAGTTATGATCTAGAATAAGCTTTATGTGGCCTCTCCGGACTCCCATATATTTGCACTTAGTTTAGTCGGGCACCATTTGCTGTCATCAGCCGACATTAATTTTGAAGCAAAAAAGACCGGTAAAAAAAAAAAAAGCCGCGTCGCCGCACCACTTTTTGGGCAAGCTCTATACCAGAAACCGGAGACTTTTTTTTTTGGCCTAATGGAATGGTATGAGAAACCAACTTTTATTTCCCCTTTGACCAAAATCTCTGAATGGACGTTGTCGATCGTGCCTCAATAATTTGAAATGCACTCTATTAACAAACGTTTGCCGCCATTGACAATATCCTTTTTTAGATGCCGTAGGCAAAATGGGAAAATAGGTATAGTCAATACACACTTCTTAAGTTGAGAAATGTGTTGACCGCGACGTTATTCCACAACCATTTTTAAATATGCACTGTCGGAATTGTGTGAATGGAGAAATGTTTATGGGGCAGTACTTGTATACTGTGGAAACAGTACGCAGTACGGTAGTTGTCGGTAGTTGAAATAAGAAATATGTAAGAAGGAAAACAATTGTCAGATCTTGGTTTCCTTGATTCTCAGAAAAAAAGATGACTGCAAATAAGGGAATAAATGTGTGTTTGGGAGGTATTAAAAACTCTGTTTAGGACCGGTTGGAGTCTGGATAATAACCCCAGGCGAAGCATTCCAAACTCCAACCGGTCTAAAGAGTGTTTAATACCGACCAAGCACATATTTATTCCCAATTCGTAAATACCTTTTCAGTCAAAAACCAAATCTTTTCGGTCAAAAAATAAAAAAAGTCAAAAACTAGACGTTGCCAAACATTTTGTTCAATAATTTTACTTCATCTTTAATGAAACACCCCTCTTACTATAATACTGGATGTCCCTCTAGAACTCCTTACCTTATAAGGAGATCGGCGTGCGCGTCGCGCGTAATGCGCGATGTTGTGCAAAACGCAGCTGGGCTGGTGTAGTGGAAATTTCGGATTATGAAATACTGATTCATGGTAGTTTTGCACATGCCTACGTGAGGAATGTGAACGTTCAACCAATGAAACGTTGAAAGGCACCGGTTTTCATGGGAGTCCAAATTTCATGTGACACTCGAAAAGTGTTTCAGACCAGCCAGCCATGCATGTCTTTATCATCCGTTTAAAACCGGCCACGTGTTGGGGCGCCAACAGGAATGGGTAAACCTTATAACATATATGAATAAAACATTTATGAATAAAACATGATGTAGGGGTGCTGTGGGGTGCTGTGGCCCAATGGTTACAGTGGTACATGGGTTCGAATCCTGACCGTGGGAACATGGTGCTTGTGCTCTTGATCAAGGCACTTTACCATTATTGCTTCGTCCTTCGGATGGGACGTAAAGCCGTAGGTCCCGTGTGTTGTGTAATGCACGTAAAAGAACCCAGTAACGCTAAGAGAAGGGGTTTGCCCCGGTGTTTCTGGCAGTGGCAGCAATATGCGCCGCAGCATCTTGTAAACCATTATATGGTATTACATAATGGGTCTCATATTTATCATAAACTTTATTTACCTTTCTTTAATAATAGACATAATTTCCAGCGCCTTGAGTACCTAATTGTTGGTGCGCTATATAAGACTCCGATATTATTATTATTACTATGTAAACTTGGTGAACAAAATAGTTGGCAACGTCCAGTTTTTGGCTTGTTTTGATTTTTGGACCGAAACGATTTGGTTTTGACCGAAAAGGTATTTATGAATGGGAATAAATATGTGCTTGGTCGGTATTAAACACTCTGTTTAAGACTTGTGTGTATAAATGTGCAAGCTAGCAATTTACAACACATGGGTAAAACAAACAAGAGGGCATTATATTTCCATAATCAAGGAGTCTGGGTTCGCAACAATACTATTCCGCCATAAATAAAACATTCGACGCATAATATGTTTTTCTGTGTCTAAACTCCTGCTTACAGAAATCAATATGAATTGAAGGTAATCTTTATACACTTTCAGGCAGTTTCTATGGACAATGGGACTACCCAATGATACGTTCCAAAAATACTTGGCTTACTTGACTTATACCGTCCACACAGGTAGCAGACCTGGTGATGGCTTCTGCATGGTGGTGTTGTGCCAAACTTTCCTGTCCATAGCCAACCTTGCTGCATCAGTTATTCTTGATCTTGATCTTGATTTGCAGTCCTGTGAGATGCAGTCTTAAAGCCATTGTTTTGGTGAGCGGCCTCTTGGTCTGTCTCCTTTGACATTGCCTTCTATGCCATTTAGGGGTATCTTGTGATGGGTTGCATTCTTTTAACGTGGCCAAAGTACTTCAGTCTTTTTATTGTTATAATTTTTCTGATGGTCTAGGTCCAAGTTGAGTGGTTCTTTGATGTGTGTGTTGCGGATCTTGTCTAGACGGCTTACTCCCATTATACGACGAAGGCTCATCAAAAACATCTAAAAAACATGGAGCCTGTTTTCATCTTCTTTCTTAACTGTCCATGACTCGGCACCATACAGGAGTATTGACAGAATCAGAGTTTGGTACAGCTGCATCTTGGTGTGGTTGCTGATGACTTTGGATGTCCAAATGTTATACAGCTTTTGAAAGACTGCCCCCGCTTTCCTGATTCTTGTTTTGATGCAGCGTGGCCACTCATCAAAATTCCCAAGATTCATCCAGTAAAATTCCCAAGAATTCCAAAGGCAATGGAGAACAGTGTACAATATGAATTTAACAGAGCACGCGGTAGCCTAAAATCATATAGAATTATGATATTTTTACAACCAAAAATCCCAAGAACTTGGAAGAAATCCCAAGGAGTGGCCACGCTGTTTTAATGTCCTTTGCGCGTGTTCCGTTGTTTGCTATTGTGCTCCTAGACACAATTGTCCACCTGCTCTAGTTTGTTGTTGTTGATTTTGATGTTGCACTTTCTGTTGCTTATGACTTGAACTTCTGTTTTGCTGATGTTTATCTTGAGGCCATAGTCGCTGCTGGATTTGTACACTTTGTCCACTAAGGATTGAAGTTCCTCTGGAGTTAAAATTATTTGGTCCTAAATGGTGCGGCAAGAAAAACCGTAGTAGGGCCTACATCCAGCATTGCAGACGGGTGTCACAAATAAATGCAGACTTCTGATGAATACAGCAATTAATTCGGTGTGCTAATAGGGCCGTGTTCCTACAACAGAAATGGTAACAATGTACGTCTGACGTAGAGGATTTTTAAAGTTATTTCATCAAAAGAAGTTTAAAAAATTATGCAAAATAATTCAAAAATTATTTAACAAGTCTTAATACAATCTTGTTTACAGGTGATATGTATAGTTTTCAAATGGGACCCCGTAGTGGTACTGAAGATGGTGGACCTATTGAAATCGTTGTGACGAGGACTGGAATGCACGTTGATGCCAATTCTACAGTGGGTAAGTAGCATATGCTCAGTTCAAGGCATTGTACGCTTACTTTCTTTTCGTGTATTTTGTTCGTTTCGAATAAAAACACCACTCAAAATCCATAGAAGAACGTTCAAAACAAAACCTGTTGAGGATGCAGCTCCGTGAACACTTTTTTTCCCGAGAAAACAATGGAAAAAACATGTACATAATTTCACCGGGTGTTTAGTACCAGTACAATCTTTAATCTAAGTAAGCTGTTTGATAATAAATCGGTAGTACTTTCGATATGGGGAGTCACGGTGGCGTAGCAGTACTTTCCTCGCCTTCCACCGCTGTGTGACCCGGGTTCGAATCCCGCCTGGTAGGGGTGGTAAAATCCAGTGTCAAAATTTGACTCATTGAGTCGAACGAAAAATGTTAACTTAACTCTGCACGCCATCGACTTGCTTCGTTTGTATCAAATTCGAAACTTTCTAAAACTACAAATGTTTGCCATTTAATATTTCAGTCCACGCCTAGAGTGTACGTTAAAGTCGGCTATAAGAATCAATGCCGGTGTGGCGTGAAAATCCGACTCCGTCAAATATGGACTCATTGGTGGCATTGAACATGCGAAAGTATGATAATAGCCTATTTATAGGTATATGGGAGAGTGACTTGCCACGTGTGAGGGATTAACCAATAATAGGGAAAATGAGTCCGATTTTCATAGGAGTCGGACTTTCATAATTATGACAGCGGCCGCTTTATCCAAACGATCAAAAACCGAAACTATCGACTTGAACTCATGTACGTCTACCAGCGCGTTGGGATATGGCTACTGGACAACGGAAAGGCATTTTCTCAGAAATTTATGTAAAGGGCCTATACTGTAAACGAATGAAATGCTTCCCTAGACTTTGAAAACACATCTTACTGAAAAACAGTTAAACTTGCACCTAGTTTAGCTGATCGTAACTGTAGTCAGCTACAAGCCTGGGACACTTCCTGAGCCTGCCACGGCGACCTACTCCCCCGCTCCCCCTGTCAATGTTGTTCTCTCCAGCTGATGGAGCACACACCGCGCAATGAAAGACAACATCGAACGGGGCCGGAGGGTTGGGGGCCCAGCGAGATTTGGCCAGGATTGTAGGTCTGCAAGCTCGACTGTTTTCTATAATCTAACTGGCTGCTTTTATCGTGTACAATTTTGCTTTCATTTTGATGACAGCTGTTGCCAGCTCTGATGGAACGGCGACAGCCGGTGCAGATTATCTTGTGGTGATGGAAACGTTAGAATTCCAGCTGACGAGGAACCAAGTCAGTGTTACCGTGACAATCATTGACGATGGTGCCGCAGAGGACACCGAGTGTTTCACACTGACACTGTCAAATCCCGATCCCACTGGCACTCTTGGGTCAGCAACTGAAATTTGCATCGTCGATAATGAGGGTGAGATTGCAAATCTAACTCGTAGGCCTGCATGTGGAAGGTTTTTTTTTTGTGGTCCTGAACTTCATCTGTGGTTTCTGTTTCAAGAAATTTGAAGGATATTTAACAATTGTTGACTGTTGTGATGTGGGATATGACGTTTTGAACACCCGACCCGAGTGGTGCATAGCACCCGAGGGTGCTATGCGCCCCGAGGGTGTTCAAAACATCATATCCCACATCGCAGCAGTCAACAATTGTTTTGTTAGGCCTATACCTTTGTCTTGGATTCTTTGAATTTTGATGTAAAATCACGAAAACAAACAGCAGTAAACACAATAGTCATGACAATCGATCGGCATATCCATGGCATGTCGAGTGCTCGAAACAGCTGATCGTCTGCTAGTTCGCCGCTCCCACTCATATGTGAAAACATGGTGAAAATAGCGTGGGTACCAACGATACATGCGTTTCACACAGTACGTATACTGCATGTATCACGTGCGTGATATCCCAAGGGAGTGCACGTGCTATGACTTGTTATAAACTTAACACGTGATCGTTCTTGGCCAGTGAAAATGCAGTTTTCAAGACAGAGGTATAACAATAGCTTTTTAAGAGATTGACACAATTCAGGGAAGTCAAGCCAAGTGTAGTGTATATCCCTTGGATTTGGACGATAATGGCGTCTAAAACGATTCCTGGTGCCAGAGATGAAGTTCCGGTCGAAGACGAAGACATGGTTTGAAAGCCCTCCAAGATTGGCCTGTCTTAGCTTTTTATTGTATATTTTAAAGGCTGCACTTTTCAAAACAAAGATGATCTCAGTTTCACACGAATACCATGGAGCGCATTAGTAACTTTTATTCATATCAATGGATTTTGAGATACTTTGAAATGGATTTCGAGATATGTTGAAACGCATTTCGAGATATCTTGAAATGGACTTCGAGATATCTTGAAATGCATTTCGAGATATCTTGAACTGATTTCTACATATCTTGAAATGGATTTCCAAATATCTTGAAATGGATTTCGATATGTCTTGAAAACATTTGGAAATATCTTGAAAACATTTGAAGATATATTGAAATGCTTTTCGAGATATCGTGAAATCCTTTTCGAGATAACTTGAAATAATCACCCAGAGGCTTGAAATTGTGAGAATATTTCGTGATATCTTCATTGGAGATATCTTTCAGTGATTGGGTATGTTGAAATAATCAAAAGCTACCACGTGAACTTGAACAATTGTCAGTTATGGCAGTTATGTAGTAACAAATTGTAGTGGTCGATAATGGCTAGTGCAGCACCTCATTCAACCATCAACCCACTGTGCCAAACAATCATGTCATTTCATTTCAGAGAGAACTATGCGAAATTACGACATACATGACTTTGTGTAATTTTGTTTCTTGAGATTCTCAAAACAATGGTGATTGATATATTCTCAAAATGGTCGGTGAAACAATATGATTTATGAAACCCATTTTTTTTAAACGACGGGCCTTCAAAAGGACTTTGTTGTGAATATTTGTAACTTTTAAACTGGGGTTTTATTGCTAGTGATGTTTGAATGCAATTGTGACGACGATTCTTGAAATTGCACTTTTGAACGAAAGAGGTTTAGGGACATTGTGTTTAAATGATGATACACTTTGAACGGATTGAGCGGTACATACCGTTATTTCGTTTTACCGTTTTGGATTTCCTCAAAAAAAACAGTAAACGAACCATTGACTGTTTTGTCGTTTTACAGTTTTGTAAAACGGTCAAACGGTGTTAAGTGACCAAACAAATAATACCTTTTTTTATTTTTAAACTGATAAACGGTTAGTTGAGTGTTGTTTTACAAAAACATGACAATGACAAAACGGTCAATAGTGTTGTCGATCATTTTTTGATTCAGGTTCGGCAATTAAGCAATACACCTTGGAATGTTAATGCGCCCTGGCCTTGGGATCGAGTCAATGCTTGGGACCCAAATTGCCCTCCTTACATTCATGTCGTTCTCACGACAGAATTTGCGAATATTGGCTATTGAAGAGCCGCGCCGAACTCCAATTTCCTTAAAAAAATATCTGCAACTTCTTTATGCGTCCGTCCTGTATCCATTGTGAAATTTCCTCCTTGAAATTTTCCAGCGCCATTTTTGCTTGCAACTCTTTAAATAGCCCCACCGACTAAATCGCAGTATAGATGGGGGTCATACAGGGTCACGCAAGGAATCACACCACGCTTTAAGTATGACGAGGTAACACTTCTTCGTGTGCGGCATGGTCCACCTCATCCCCCTTGCCCACTGCCACAAAATGCACTACGGACTAGGGCCCTAACTATGACACTGAATTAAAAAAAAAAAGTCTGTATTCAATACTGACCGTTGCTGTTTTTCAAAGTTATTTGTGTCAAACTGTAAAACAAAAATCATTGATCGTTATGCTGTAATGAATTTTACTAAACTGATAAAACGGAATAACCGTATACCCTTTGACCGTTTTACAAAACTGTAAAACGACAAAACAGTCAATGGTTTGTTTACTGTTTTTGTTTTTGAGGAAATCCAAAACGGTAAAACGAAATAACGGTATGTACTGGGATTATGTAGTTGTTGGATAATCAGAGTAACGTCACTACATAAGGATCCAAATTAATAACCAGGGGTGTGGGCGGAACTTGGGAATTAACTCTTAATTTTCGGCTGAAGACGAAGACAATAAAAAAAAAGCTCTTCATTTTCCATCTCCAAATGCCGAGTTGGGAAGGAGGAGGTGCGCACAGAGGGAGGACAAGGGGACGCAGAGGGGCCTATGCCCTGCCCCTCCACTCCTACGTGCCCTCACCATGTGCCCTAAATTACGACACTGTGTTCATATAATTATCTGAAATTTCCCATCCATTTACTTCTTATTCAAAGATCCTTGTACGTGTCCTGGTGGCTGCCCGGCCGTGCCATGTTCAAATGGGGGTACATGTATGGATGCTGGTCATGGAATGAATAACTGTACTTGCCCTTCGGGGTGGAAGGGCGCCACCTGTGACGAGGAAGGTAAGCCAAATTCTAAAGTGAGTTTTGGGGAAAATAAGAAATTAAAATTGTCACAATTAAGAGGGTTTACAAATGGCAAGGTGTTGTGTTTCGTTGAGGTTGAATGTGAATAGCATATAGTTGTATGTGCATGTGAATTTCTGACCAGTAAACAAGTTTGGATATAAAATCAGCAATCTACGTGTGTTCTTCAACAATTTCGATTTTTTTTTCTGTCAAGGCTTCTGCAGCCTTCTGCAAAAAGCTTCATTATCTTAAATTGCTTTTCGCGCCCTGAATTATCGTATTAGTAATTCGATATTTGTGAAGCAGTTAATCCAGGATGAACAACGTTTATTACAGTACAGACGTTTTCCTTGTTCCGGATAGCAAACATCATTCAGGCTGCTTTTGGCTCAACTACTCCAGGAATTCAAGTGACATTGGCTAAAAAATTTACCTTGAGTGATGGACATACTACACAGTAATTTCCCAATTTAAGCTCCTTTTAATTCGACTTTACGACGTCAAAAGTATCCCTTTTTTGCCTTTTTTTTCCTAGTTCCGGATCGGGTCAATCAGATCTGAATCGATCAAACACTGGCTTCGCGCTAAAAAAAAAAAAAAAAAAAGGGAGAAAATCATTTTTTTTCAGCCAGAAAAAAAAACAAATCAAGCACATTTCTGATAAAGTATTATTTAATTGACCAAAAATAGTTCATTCAAGAGAATTCCAGCAAATTTTAAAAAGAGGAAAACTTAAATGATTTTGAAAATTTTGTCTACAGCACAACGAACTCAAACACGGACCAAAAACTTCACATAAAATCGATTAACGCGCGTGTAGTTGGGTCGTAAGTGCACGCGCGATCCGGAACTAGGCAAAAACATACGGTCAATCGTTGGCGAATTTTTAAAAATTAGAGACTCTACAACTTATTCGGATTCAACAAACATTGGATGGAAGAGTTTATACGACTATAGTGTATGAACAAAATGTTTGAAATCACACGGTACGAGTGATGTACCGAGGAGAAAAATGTATCGTCGATTCGCAGCTCCTGCGTTTTTCTGCAACCGTCCAAACATGTCAAAGTGCGAGTCGGAAATCTAGCCAAAATTCATCTTCTACAGATTTTATCGAAAAGATCTTTCTGTATCATGAAGCTTACATTTTCCTTTTCAAAATGCACTTAGTCTAATCTAAAAGAGGTAGGGTTTTATTTGAAGCGATTCGGAACTAGGAAAAATCCGGAACTAGGAAAACGACTGTACATTTAATCCTTAAAAAACATGCTTTGTACAAGTTGTGCAGCGTTACGTCCTTTTATAACCTTTTCGTGATTTTGTTTTATTGTTCTTGTGTACTGTCTGTGCGTTTCAACAAACTCCACTTTTTACTCCTCATGAACTTTCTAGCGTTGTATTTTGCTTTTAGAAAAAAGTTCTGTAAACTAATCGTCCCATAAGTAATCATGGACCGATTATTCACTTCGAGGTGTCGTACCAATAAGAAATATCTTTTGTATTCGTAAAAAAAAAAATTTTGAAAGCAGAAAGGTGTTTTTTGGGGGGATGATTCAAATACATGAAAACCATGCTTCTTAAAATAGACTAATATTTGTTATTATTCAATCAATGTTTTTGCATTGTTACCTTTGATATAACGATTTCGTGGTTTGTTGTTTGGGTATTTTTCAGCCGCAACTTACAATTTTGAGCAGGCATCCTACTCTACAAATGAAGGAGATGGCCCTATTGATATCACCATTATACGCACTGGAGCTTCGGCTTTGGAAAGTACTCTTGTTGGTATGTTACCTAGTAAGATCAAATGTCATTGAAACTGTAATGTTTGTATTTGTTACAAAATAACCTGCAAAGATGCTTAAATGTTTGCATTGCCTGCCGAAGGCCCATTGGTATGACCATAGGTAGGACCTCAGCTCTATGGTATTACGTCACAGGTAATATGGTCTATATTCTTCTTTGGTACCTCATCGACTCACTCACTTATTGTCACTTATGAATTAAATTTGCTTAAGTCTCACCTTAGCCCCAAAATTTGACGCAGATGACTATATTAACCCCTTGGACCCAATTGGTGTGATCATTCTGGGCAAGTTTTATAGGCTTGCCTTGTCTTGTTTTCACTAATGATTGAGTCAATTTGTGGCCCCAACCTTGTAGGCGAATTAGTATACGCCTACACTAGTTTTAATAAAAGATTTCATTACCTGAACATTTCATCATTATCAATATGCTATTCTTCCCCCACAGACGTTGTTACCTCCGATGGGACTGCTGTTGCAGGAATGGATTATATACCACAGACTACCACTCTAAACTTCATAGATACAAATATCACAGTATTCACGGTCACAATAATTGATGATGACAGCGCGCAGGACACGCATTGTTTCACCTTGTCTTTGATGAATCCAGATCCAAGCGATGGACAAGTTGGTGCTGATACAGAAATCTGCATCATTGATGATGAAGGTACAGTTAGAAGCCCCTAGTCCCCGTAATGTCAAAACAGCTCTTATTGTGTGCCAGAACATCAAACATCACGAGACTACCAAATGAAATGGACTTGTCTAATGCTGATCTTTTCAAGGGTTTTTAAGCCAAGGCATTTGTGAACATTGGGAAACATAATGGCATATACAGAGAATATTATTGATCGTCTATACGGAGACTGCAAATAGAATCGAGAACAAGCAAAATGATACATCAATGGTGTTTATTATTGATGTTTATGTGAAGTAAATAGAGTTGATTTTAATGCATTTTTAGATCCATGTGCTTGCACTGGTAATTGTCCACTCGTACCATGTTCAAATGGAGGTATGTGTATGGATGCTGGTCGTGGAATGTACAACTGTACTTGTGCGTTTGGATGGAAAGGATCTACCTGTGCCGATGAAGGTAATGAAATCATAATTGAGTTATTCACATGCAAAAGGCTCGGATTCGTGCGTTCCCCAAAGCCGAATGTGAAAAAGTGAAGTTGAAATTGGTGCGTGAAAGTGCCATCCGTGTACCTTTGGATTTTCAGGCTCCTAGTGTGGGATATATCGAAGCTTTTATGTCTTCTACCTTCATGATCGTGAATTTGTATCTTTCCTGCTGACTTGCTATTGTTTTCTAATTGCGTTTGTATTGTTACCTTCGATATCACAATTTCGTGGTTTCTTGTTGAATACTAGCAGTACCTTTTTTTGTTTGGGTATGTTTTTCAGCCACGGTATACAATTTTGAGCAGGCATCCTACTCTACAAATGAAGGAGATGGCCCTATTGATATCACCATTATACGCACTGGAGCTTCGGCTTTGGAAAGTACTCTTGTTGGTATGATACCTAATTAGTAAGATCAAATGTCATTGAAACTGTATGTTTGTATTTGTTACAAAATAACCTGCAAAGATGCTTAAATGTTTGAGTTGCCTGCCGAAGGCCCATTGGTATGACCATCGGTAGGACCTCAGCTCTATGGTATGACGTCACAGGTAATATGGTCTATATTTTTCTTTGGTACTTCATCGACTCACTCACTTATTGTCACTTATGAATTAAATTTGCTTAAGTCTCACCTGAGCCCCAAAATTCGACTCAGATGACTATATTAACCCCATGGACTCAATTGGTGTGATCATTCTGGGCAAGTTTTATAGGCTTGCCTTGTCTTGTTTTCACTAATGATTGAGTCAATTTGTGGCCCCAACCTTGTAGGCAAAGTAGTATACGCCTACACTAGTTTAAATAAAAGATTTAATTACCTGAACATTTCATCATTATCAATATGCTATTTTTCCCCCACAGACGTTGTTACCTCCGATGGGACTGCTGTTGCAGGAATGGATTATTCATCTCAGACTGCCACTCTAAACTTCACAGATACAAATATCACAGTATTCACGGTCACAATAATTGATGATGACAGCGCGCAGGACACGCATTGTTTCACCTTGTCTTTGATGAATCCAGATCCAAGCGATGGACAAGTTGGTGCTGATACAGAAATCTGCATCATTGATGATGAAGGTACAGTTAGAAGCCCCTAGTCCCCGTAATGTCAAAACAGCTCTTATTGTGTGCCAGAACATCAAACATCACGAGACTACCAAATGAAATGGACTTGTCTAATGCTGATCTTTTCAAGGGTTTTTAAGCCAAGGCATTTGTGAACATTGGGAAACATCATGGCATATACAGAGAACATTATTGATCGTCTATACGGAGACTGCAAATAGAATCGAGAACAAGCAAAATGATACATCAACGATGTTTATTATTGATGTTTGTGTGAGTAAATAGAGTTGATTTTTTAATGCATTTTTAGATCCATGTGCTTGCTCTGGTAATTGTCCACTCGTACCATGTTCAAATGGAGGTATGTGTATGGATGCTGGTCGTGGAATGTACAACTGTACTTGTGCGTTTGGATGGAAGGGCGCTACCTGTGCCGATGAAGGTAATGAAATCATAATTGAGTTTAATACTCACATGCAAAAAGCTCGGATTCGTGCGTTCCCCAAAGCTGAATGTGAAAAAGTGAAGTTGAAATTGGTGCGTGAAAGTGCCATCCGTGTACCTTTGGATTTTCAGGCTCCTAGTGTGGGATATATCGAAGCTTTTATGTCTTCAAGCTTCATGATCGTGAATTTGTATCTTTCCTGCTGACTTGCTATTGTTTTCTAATTGCGTTTGAATTGTTACTTTCGATATCACAATTTCGTGGTTTCTTGTTGAATATAAGCAGTACCTTTTTTTGTTTGGGTATATTTTTCAGCCACGGTATACAATTTTGAGCAGGCATCCTACTCTACAAATGAAGGAGATGGCCCTATTGATATCACCATTATACGCACTGGAGCTTCGGCTTTGGAAAGTACTCTTGTTGGTATGTTACCTAGTAAGATCAAATGTCATTGAAACTGTAATGTTTGTATTTGTTACAAAATAACCTGCAAAGATGCTTAAATGTTTGCATTGCCTGCCGAAGGCCCATTGGTATGACCATAGGTAGGACCTCAGCTCTATGGTATTACGTCACAGGTAATATGGTCTATATTCTTCTTTGGTACCTCATCGACTCACTCACTTATTGTCACTTATGAATTAAATTTGCTTAAGTCTCACCTTAGCCCCAAAATTTGACGCAGATGACTATATTAACCCCTTGGACCCAATTGGTGTGATCTTTCTGGGCAAGTTTTATAGGCTTGCCTGGTCTTGTTTTCACTAATGATTGAGTCAATTTGTGGCCCCAACCTTGTAGGCGAATTAGTATACGCCTACACTAGTTTTAATAAAAGATTTCATTACCTGAACATTTCATCATTATCAATATGCTATTCTTCCCCCACAGACGTTGTTACCTCCGATGGGACTGCTGTTGCAGGAATGGATTATATACCACAGACTACCACTCTAAACTTCATAGATACAAATATCACAGTATTCACGGTCACAATAATTGATGATGACAGCGCGCAGGACACGCATTGTTTCACCTTGTCTTTGATGAATCCAGATCCAAGCGATGGACAAGTTGGTGCTGATACAGAAATCTGCATCATTGATGATGAAGGTACAGTTAGAAGCCCCTAGTCCCCGTAATGTCAAAACAGCTCTTATTGTGTGCCAGAACATCAAACATCACGAGACTACCAAATGAAATGGACTTGTCTAATGCTGATCTTTTCAAGGGTTTTTAAGCCAAGGCATTTGTGAACATTGGGAAACATAATGGCATATACAGAGAATATTATTGATCGTCTATACGGAGACTGCAAATAGAATCGAGAACAAGCAAAATGATACATCAATGGTGTTTATTATTGATGTTTATGTGAAGTAAATAGAGTTGATTTTAATGCATTTTTAGATCCATGTGCTTGCACTGGTAATTGTCCACTCGTACCATGTTCAAATGGAGGTATGTGTATGGATGCTGGTCGTGGAATGTACAACTGTACTTGTGCGTTTGGATGGAAAGGATCTACCTGTGCCGATGAAGGTAATGAAATCATAATTGAGTTATTCACATGCAAAAGGCTCGGATTCGTGCGTTCCCCAAAGCCGAATGTGAAAAAGTGAAGTTGAAATTGGTGCGTGAAAGTGCCATCCGTGTACCTTTGGATTTTCAGGCTCCTAGTGTGGGATATATCGAAGCTTTTATGTCTTCTACCTTCATGATCGTGAATTTGTATCTTTCCTGCTGACTTGCTATTGTTTTCTAATTGCGTTTGTATTGTTACCTTCGATATCACAATTTCGTGGTTTCTTGTTGAATACTAGCAGTACCTTTTTTTGTTTGGGTATGTTTTTCAGCCACGGTATACAATTTTGAGCAGGCATCCTACTCTACAAATGAAGGAGATGGCCCTATTGATATCACCATTATACGCACTGGAGCTTCGGCTTTGGAAAGTACTCTTGTTGGTATGATACCTAATTAGTAAGATCAAATGTCATTGAAACTGTATGTTTGTATTTGTTACAAAATAACCTGCAAAGATGCTTAAATGTTTGAGTTGCCTGCCGAAGGCCCATTGGTATGACCATCGGTAGGACCTCAGCTCTATGGTATGACGTCACAGGTAATATGGTCTATATTTTTCTTTGGTACTTCATCGACTCACTCACTTATTGTCACTTATGAATTAAATTTGCTTAAGTCTCACCTGAGCCCCAAAATTCGACTCAGATGACTATATTTACCCCATGGACTCAATTGGTGTGATCATTCTGGGCAAGTTTTATAGGCTTGCCTTGTCTTGTTTTCACTAATGATTGAGTCAATTTGTGGCCCCAACCTTGTAGGCAAAGTAGTATACGCCTACACTAGTTTAAATAAAAGATTTAATTACCTGAACATTTCATCATTATCAATATGCTATTTTTCCCCCACAGACGTTGTTACCTCCGATGGGACTGCTGTTGCAGGAATGGATTATTCATCTCAGACTGCCACTCTAAACTTCACAGATACAAATATCACAGTATTCACGGTCACAATAATTGATGATGACAGCGCGCAGGACACGCATTGTTTCACCTTGTCTTTGATGAATCCAGATCCAAGCGATGGACAAGTTGGTGCTGATACAGAAATCTGCATCATTGATGATGAAGGTACAGTTAGAAGCCCCTAGTCCCCGTAATGTCAAAACAGCTCTTATTGTGTGCCAGAACATCAAACATCACGAGACTACCAAATGAAATGGACTTGTCTAATGCTGATCTTTTCAAGGGTTTTTAAGCCAAGGCATTTGTGAACATTGGGAAACATCATGGCATATACAGAGAACATTATTGATCGTCTATACGGAGACTGCAAATAGAATCGAGAACAAGCAAAATGATACATCAACGATGTTTATTATTGATGTTTGTGTGAGTAAATAGAGTTGATTTTTTAATGCATTTTTAGATCCATGTGCTTGCTCTGGTAATTGTCCACTCGTACCATGTTCAAATGGAGGTATGTGTATGGATGCTGGTCGTGGAATGTACAACTGTACTTGTGCGTTTGGATGGAAGGGCGCTACCTGTGCCGATGAAGGTAATGAAATCATAATTGAGTTTAATACTCACATGCAAAAAGCTCGGATTCGTGCGTTCCCCAAAGCTGAATGTGAAAAAGTGAAGTTGAAATTGGTGCGTGAAAGTGCCATCCGTGTACCTTTGGATTTTCAGGCTCCTAGTGTGGGATATATCGAAGCTTTTATGTCTTCAAGCTTCATGATCGTGAATTTGTATCTTTCCTGCTGACTTGCTATTGTTTTCTAATTGCGTTTGAATTGTTACTTTCGATATCACAATTTCGTGGTTTCTTGTTGAATATAAGCAGTACCTTTTTTTGTTTGGGTATATTTTTCAGCCACGGTATACAATTTTGAGCAGGCATCCTACTCTACAAATGAAGGAGATGGCCCTATTGATATCACCATTATACGCACTGGAGCTTCGGCTTTGGAAAGTACTCTTGTTGGTATGATACCTAATTAGTAAGATCAAATGTCATTGAAACTGTATGTTTGTATTTGTTACAAAATAACCTGCAAAGATGCTTAAATGTTTGCATTGCCTGCCGAAGGCCCATTGGTATGACCATAGGTAGGACCTCAGCTCTATGGTACTACGTCACAGGTAATATGGTCTATATTCTTCTTTGGTACCTCTTCGACTCACTCACTTATTGTCACTTATGAATTAATTTGCTTAAGTCTCACCTTAGCCCCAAAATTTGACGCAGATGACTATATTAACCCCTTGGACCCAATTGGTGTGATCATTCTGGGCAAGTTTTATAGGCTTGCCTGGTCTTGTTTTCACTAATGATTGAGTCAATTTGTGGCCCCAACCTTGTAGGCAAATTAGTATACGCCTACACTAGTTTTAATAAAAGATTTCATTACCTGAACATTTCATCATTATCAATATGCTATTTTTCCCCCACAGACGTTGTTACCTCCGATGGGACTGCTGTTGCAGGAATGGATTATTCATCTCAGACTGCCACTCTAAACTTCACAGATACAAATATCACAGTATTCACGGTCACAATAATTGATGATGACAGCGCGCAGGACACGCATTGTTTCACCTTGTCTTTGATGAATCCAGATCCAAGCGATGGACAAGTTGGTGCTGATACAGAAATCTGCATCATTGATGATGAAGGTACAGTTAAAGCCCCTAGTCCCCGTAATGTCAAAACAGCTCTTATTGTGTGCCAGAACATCAAACATCACGAGACTACCAAATGAAATGGACTTGTCTAATGCTGATCTTTTCAAGGGTTTTTAAGCCAAGGCATTTGTGAACATTGGGAAACATAATGGCATATACAGAGAATATTATTGATCGTCTATACGGAGACTGCAAATAGAATCGAGAACAAGCAAAATGATACATCAATGGTGTTTATTATTGATGTTTATGTGAAGTAAATAGAGTTGATTTTAATGCATTTTTAGATCCATGTGCTTGCACTGGTAATTGTCCACTCGTACCATGTTCAAATGGAGGTATGTGTATGGATGCTGGTCGTGGAATGTACAACTGTACTTGTGTGTTTGGATGGAAAGGATCTACCTGTGCCGATGAAGGTAATGAAATCATAATTGAGTTATTCACATGCAAAAGGCTCGGATTCGTGCGTTCCCCAAAGCCGAATGTGAAAAAGTGAAGTTGAAATTGGTGCGTGAAAGTGCCATCCGTGTACCTTTGGATTTTCAGGCTCCTAGTGTGGGATATATCGAAGCTTTTATGTCTTCTACCTTCATGATCGTGAATTTGTATCTTTCCTGCTGACTTGCTATTGTTTTCTAATTGCGTTTGTATTGTTACCTTCGATATCACAATTTCGTGGTTTCTTGTTGAATACTAGCAGTACCTTTTTTTGTTTGGGTATGTTTTTCAGCCACGGTATACAATTTTGAGCAGGCATCCTACTCTACAAATGAAGGAGATGGCCCTATTGATATCACCATTATACGCACTGGAGCTTCGGCTTTGGAAAGTACTCTTGTTGGTATGATACCTAATTAGTAAGATCAAATGTCATTGAAACTGTATGTTTGTATTTGTTACAAAATAACCTGCAAAGATGCTTAAATGTTTGGGTTGCCTGCCGAAGGCCCATTGGTATGACCATCGGTAGGACCTCAGCTCTATGGTATGACGTCACAGGTAATATGGTCTATATTTTTCTTTGGTACTTCATCGACTCACTCACTTATTGTCACTTATGAATTAAATTTGCTTAAGTCTCACCTGAGCCCCAAAATTCGACTCAGATGACTATATTAACCCCATGGACTCAATTGGTGTGATCATTCTGGGCAAGTTTTATAGGCTTGCCTTGTCTTGTTTTCACTAATGATTGAGTCAATTTGTGGCCCCAACCTTGTAGGCAAAGTAGTATACGCCTACACTAGTTTAAATAAAAGATTTAATTACCTGAACATTTCATCATTATCAATATGCTATTTTTCCCCCACAGACGTTGTTACCTCCGATGGGACTGCTGTTGCAGGAATGGATTATTCATCTCAGACTGCCACTCTAAACTTCACAGATACAAATATCACAGTATTCACGGTCACAATAATTGATGATGACAGCGCGCAGGACACGCATTGTTTCACCTTGTCTTTGATGAATCCAGATCCAAGCGATGGACAAGTTGGTGCTGATACAGAAATCTGCATCATTGATGATGAAGGTACAGTTAGAAGCCCCTAGTCCCCGTAATGTCAAAACAGCTCTTATTGTGTGCCAGAACATCAAACATCACGAGACTACCAAATGAAATGGACTTGTCTAATGCTGATCTTTTCAAGGGTTTTTAAGCCAAGGCATTTGTGAACATTGGGAAACATAATGGCATATACAGAGAATATTATTGATCGTCTATACGGAGACTGCAAATAGAATCGAGAACAAGCAAAATGATACATCAATGGTGTTTATTATTGATGTTTATGTGAAGTAAATAGAGTTGATTTTAATGCATTTTTAGATCCATGTGCTTGCACTGGTAATTGTCCACTCGTACCATGTTCAAATGGAGGTATGTGTATGGATGCTGGTCGTGGAATGTACAACTGTACTTGTGCGTTTGGATGGAAAGGATCTACCTGTGCCGATGAAGGTAATGAAATCATAATTGAGTTATTCACATGCAAAAGGCTCGGATTCGTGCGTTCCCCAAAGCCGAATGTGAAAAAGTGAAGTTGAAATTGGTGCGTGAAAGTGCCATCCGTGTACCTTTGGATTTTCAGGCTCCTAGTGTGGGATATATCGAAGCTTTTATGTCTTCTACCTTCATGATCGTGAATTTGTATCTTTCCTGCTGACTTGCTATTGTTTTCTAATTGCGTTTGTATTGTTACCTTCGATATCACAATTTCGTGGTTTCTTGTTGAATACTAGCAGTACCTTTTTTTGTTTGGGTATGTTTTTCAGCCACGGTATACAATTTTGAGCAGGCATCCTACTCTACAAATGAAGGAGATGGCCCTATTGATATCACCATTATACGCACTGGAGCTTCGGCTTTGGAAAGTACTCTTGTTGGTATGATACCTAATTAGTAAGATCAAATGTCATTGAAACTGTATGTTTGTATTTGTTACAAAATAACCTGCAAAGATGCTTAAATGTTTGGGTTGCCTGCCGAAGGCCCATTGGTATGACCATCGGTAGGACCTCAGCTCTATGGTATGACGTCACAGGTAATATGGTCTATATTTTTCTTTGGTACTTCATCGACTCACTCACTTATTGTCACTTATGAATTAAATTTGCTTAAGTCTCACCTGAGCCCCAAAATTCGACTCAGATGACTATATTAACCCCATGGACTCTGGGCAAGTTTTATAGGCTTGCCTTGTCTTGTTTTCACTAATGATTGAGTCAATTTGTGGCCCCAACCTTGTAGGCAAAGTAGTATACGCCTACACTAGTTTAAATAAAAGATTTAATTACCTGAACATTTCATCATTATCAATATGCTATTTTTCCCCCACAGACGTTGTTACCTCCGATGGGACTGCTGTTGCAGGAACGGATTATTCATCTCAGACTGCCACTCTAAACTTCACAGATACAAATATCACAGTATTCACGGTCACAATAATTGATGATGACAGCGCGCAGGACACGCATTGTTTCACCTTGTCTTTGATGAATCCAGATCCAAGCGATGGACAAGTTGGTGCTGATACAGAAATCTGCATCATTGATGATGAAGGTACAGTTAGAAGCCCTAGTCCTCGTAAAGTCAAAACAGCTCTTATTGTGTGCCGGAACATCAAACATCATGAGACTACCAAATGAAATGGACTTGTCTAATGCTGATCTTTTCAAGGGTTTTTAAGCCAAGGCATTTGTGAACATTGGGAAACATAATGGCATATACAGAGAATATTATTGATCGTCTATACGGAGATTGCAAATAGAATCGAGAACAAGCAAAATGATACATCAACGATGTTTATTATTGATGTTTGTGTGAGTAAATATAGTTGACTTTTTAATGCATTTTTAGATCCATGTGCTTGCTCTGGTAATTGTCCACTCGTACCATGTTCAAATGGAGGTATGTGTATGGATGTTGGTCATGGAATGTACAACTGTACTTGTGCGTTTGGATGGAAGGGCGCTACCTGTGCCGATGAAGGTAATGAAATCATAATTGAGTTACTCACATGCAAAAAGCTCGGATTCGTGCGTTCCCAAAAGCTGAATGTGAAAAAGTGAAAAAGTTGAAATTGGTGCGTGAAAGTGCCATCCGTGTACCTTTGGATTTTCAGGCTCCTAGTGTGGGATATATCGAAGCTTTTATGTCTTCAAGCTTCATGATCGTGAATTTGTATCTTTCCTGCTGACTTGCTATTGTTTTCTAATTGCGATTGAATTGTTACCTTCGATATCACAATTTCGTGGTTTCTTGTTGAATATTAGCAGTATCTTTTTTTGTTTGGGTATATTTTTCAGCCACGGTATACAATTTTGAGCAGGCATCCTACTCTACAAATGAAGGAGATGGCCCTATTGATATCACCATTATACGCACTGGAGCTTCGGCTTTGGAAAGTACTCTTGTTGGTATGTTACCTATTTAAGAAAGATCAAATGTCATTGAAACTGTATGTTTGTATTTGTTACAAAATAACCTGCAAAGATGCTTAAATGTTTGGGTTGCCTGCCGAAGGCCCATTGGTATGACCATCGGTAGGACCTCAGCTCTATGGTATGACGTCACAGGTAACATGGTCTATATTCTTCTTTGGTACCTCATCGACTCACTCGCTGATTGTCTCTTATGAATTAAACTTGCTTAAGTCTCACCTGAGCCCCAAAATTTGACTCAGATGACTATATTAACCCCTTGGACCCAATTGGTGTGATCATTCTGGGAAAAGTTTTTTAGGCTCTCGTAGCCTTGCTTTCACTAATGATTGAGTCAATTTGTGGCCCCAACCTTGTAGGCAAATTAGTATACGCCTACACTAGTTTTAATAAAAGATTTCATTACCTGAACAATTCATCATGATCAATATGCTATTTTTCCCCCACAGACGTTGTTACCACCGATGGGACTGCTGTTGCAGGAACGGATTATTTATCGCAGACTGCCACTCTAAACTTCACAGATACAAATATCACAGTAATCACGGTCACAATAATTGATGATGACAACGCGCAGGACATGCATTGTTTCACCTTGTCTTTGATGAATCCAGATCCAAGCGATGGACAAGTTGGTGCTGATACAGAAATCTGCATCATTGATGATGAAGGTACAGTTAGAAGCCCTAATCCTCCTCAAGTCAAAACAGCTCTTATTGTGTGCCAGAACATCAAACATTATGAGACTACCAAATGAAATGGACTTGTCTAGTGCTGATCTTTTCAAGGGTTTTTAAGCCAAGGCATTTGTGAACATTGGAAAACTTAATGGCATATACAGAGAATATTACTGATCGTCTATACGGAGACTGCAAATAGAATCGAGAACAAGCAAAATGATACATCAATGATGTTTGTTATTGATGTTCATGCGAAGTAAATAGAGTTGATTTTTTAATGCATTTTTAGATCCATGTGCTTGCGCTGGTAATTGTCCACTCGTACCATGTTCAAATGGAGGTATGTGTATGGATGCTGGTCGTGGAATGTACAACTGTACTTGTGCGTTTGGATGGAAGGGCGCTACCTGTGCCGATGAAGGTAATGAAATCATAATTGAGTTACTCACATGCAAAAAGCTCGGATTCGTGCGTTCCCCAAAGCTGAATGTGAAAAAGTGAAGTTGAAATTGGTGCATGAAAGTGCCATCCGTGTACCTTTGGATTTTCAAGCTCCTAGTGTGGGATATATCGAAGCTTTTATGTCTTCAAGCTTCATGATCGTGAATTTGTATCTTTCCTGCTGACTTGCTATTGTTTTCTAATTGCGTTTGAATTGTTACCTTCGATATCACAATTTCGTGGTTTCTTGTTGAATATAACCAGTATCTTTTTTTGTTTGGGTATATTTTTCAGCCACGGTATACAATTTTGAGCAGGCATCCTACTCTACAAATGAAGGAGATGGCCCTATTGATATCACCATTATACGCACTGGAGCTTCGGCTTTGGAAAGTACTCTTGTTGGTATGTTACCTAGTAAGATCAAATGTCATTGAAACTGTATGTTTGTATTTGTTACAAAATAACCTGCAAAGATGCTTAAATGTTTGGGTTGCCTGCCGAAGGCCCATTGGTATGACCATCGGTAGGACCTCAGCTCTATGGTATGACGTCACAGGTAACATGGTCTATATTCTTCTTTGTTACCTCATCGACTCACTCACTGATTGTCACTTATGAATTAAACTTGCTTAAGTCTCACCTTAGCCCCAAAATTTGACTCAGATGACAATATTAACCTCTTGGACCCAATTGGTATGATCATTCTGGGACACGTTGTTTAAGACTTGGCTAGTCTTGTTTTCACTATTGATTGAGTCAATTGGTGGCCCCAACCTTGTAGACAAATTAGTATACGCCTACACTAGTTTTAATAAAAGATTTCATTACCCGAACATTTCATCATTATCAATATGCTATTTTTCCCCCACAGACGTTGTTACCTCCGATGGGACTGCTGTTGCAGGAATGGATTATTTATCGCAGACTGCCACTCTAAACTTCACAGATACAAATATCACAGTATTCACGGTCACAATAATTGATGATGACTACGCGCAGGACACGCATTGTTTCACCTTGTCTTTGATGAATCCAGATCCAAGCGATGGACAAGTTGGTGCTGATACAGAAATCTGCATCATTGATGATGAAGGTACAGTCGGCCAAAACGCAAATCTGAATAAAACTGTAATTTCAACGACACAACTGTTAATGAATGCAATAAGGAGTCTGGTAAAATTGCTCCCGAATGGAACATTGATTGAAGGCCTAGAAAATGGATATGTTCCGTGTGGCAAGTTGCTGATCTCTAATTTGATATTTTAGAGAACTTCTTTTTGAGAACTTTACAACAGGTCGATGAGTAGGAGACATTTGTCCCCTGCGATTGACTTTTTTTGAAGAATTATATTAAAGAATGATTTAATCATTTGAATGGCAGACGTGTGGGGTTATGTTTTGCATTGAACAGCCTTGTCCCCACGTCTTACTATATTTTCAACCTCGCTTCCAATAGTAAGCCCTGAGATGGGAACCTGCTTCCATCAGTTTCGATAGCGCATTTAGCAGGTAATGGATTTATACCGTGTACTTGGTGTTGTTATTTCTAACGTGTATTACGCGTTTTCACGTTCATTGTAATCAGTATATCACGTCCACACCGTCTCAAAAAATAATCCTTTCCGTTCCAATTTGCTAATATTAATGTAAAGTGTGATACTGTATTTCGGCTAGATGGGACTGTTACATTTTAACTTTGAAAAACAATCGTGTTGTAGCAAATCACGCCGTCACGAATTGATCATATTTTTTACCCAAAACACCACATACAAAACCAAACGCACAGGTGGACACCATGCAGACTATTTCTCATTTGCATGTGTATCCAAATTGTTTTGATATGCAAACGATCCAGTACCAGGGTGATAGAGCAGGTAGTGGTGGGAGCGTACTGCTCGACACCCTGGGAACGAGGTTGAAATGCATGGGGTTGTGTTTAGCATTGAGATGGCAATGTGAGCTAGTGCAAACATTTTACATACATTCCTACATTACTTCAGCCAAAATGTGGTTTTCGCTTTTCAGTTTTGATTTTAATTTTTTGTTATTTTCCGCCGTTTTGCTATTTATTAACTCACGGCCGTTTTGCAGATGTAGTCAAGCCTGTCTTTGACCCATGCCCTCCTGTACTCCAAGCAAGCTACCCAACTGACTTGAACTTCCCAACAGCCGTCGTCAGTTGGACTCCACCAAATGTAACCGATAACAGTGGGGGACCTGTCACGGTCGATGCCAGTCATATGCCAGGGGAGGCATTCAACATTGGAGTAACAAGAATCATGATGAATGCAACTGATGAAAGTGGCAACATGGAATCATGCGTGTTCAATGTCACTGTTGTTGGTAAGGCCATATACATTTATTTATCATAATTGGGACTTGAATAATCATAAATGCAGTTTTGCTGAAATGTCTTCTTCCTGCTTTGTGCTTGCCTTCTCATGTTGACATGATACGTCTCTCAACGGAAAACATTTTTCTTTTGATGACCAGACGACCAGCAACCCAATGTGACCTGCCCTACTGGCTTCACACTCTACACTGATCCACAATCCAATGTTAGCACTGGTGGCTGGTCTCTGCCTAATGATGCATTTGATAATTCTGGTGTCTTCACTGCGACATCGTCACTGGATCCTACAGAGCCACTGGGTGTTTCTAATCACCACGTCTCCTACACTGTTGTGGATGCAGCCGGCAATGACATTAATTGTGGTTTCTACATTACTGTGCTTGGTAAGAAGTCATCATAGATCATTTTTGTAAATATTTTCCTAGAAGAGGTTTTTGAGGTCAGGTATCAAGAATTTTTTTCCCCAGAATTCAGTGAATTTGCTAAAACCTCTTGTCTTTCAGATAATGAAGATCCCTTCTTTGAGCCATGCCCAACTTCGGTCACAGTTCAAACTGACCCACAGCAGAACACCGCTAATGTGTCATGGCCGCCTGTCATTCCGATGGACAACGTTGCAGTTCAGGAATATAACTCCAACTACCAGCCTGGGCACTTATTCCCAATTGGTGACACAGACGTTGAGTACAATGTGACCGACACGTCAGGGAATACAGGTTCCTGCTTTTTTGTGGTGACAGTTGAAGGTATGTCTTTCAATGTCAATGTCTTTCATTCTCAATTTCCAAAGATTCTCATTTCTATCGATGTGGCTTTAAGAATCTCTTACGAATAAGTTGTACAAAAACAGTGTTTGAATGCCTCTTTGAATAATGAATAAGGATTGGAAAAACATTGAGCAGGCGGAGGTCAACCACGTGCTTCTGTAACAACTAATCGTTTTGTCCCACATTTTATCCTACTGCTTGCTACTTCTTATAGTCTCACAGAATCCCATGAATCAGTTTAGTTTTAAAGGAATTGCTACCACCTTTAATGCACTCTCTGATTTTTTTCTTCTTCAAATATAGACATGGAGCCTCCTGCTATTACTTGTCCCAGTGCAGCCATTGTAACTGACACAGACCCTCAACGGAGTGTCGCTAATGTGACATATGTCACGACTGCTGCTGACAATAGTGGGGAGTGGACGGTGTCATGCACCCCAGCCTCGGCAACCAACTTCCAAGTTGGAGTGCAGAATGTCATGTGTATCGCCACTGATCCCTCGGACAACACCGAAACCTGCTCATTTGCAGTCTTGGTATCAGGTGGGTGATTAAACAAAATCAATCTCGCAGGGCGCTGCGATTTCCCTCATAAAAGACCTGACAGAAAGAGCTTTCGATCAATTCACTCCTGTGTCAAGTATTGTAGGAAAGGCTCATCCTGAAACGACTAATACTCATACTTGAGAAGAGGCTCGAGCTCGTTCCACTACAGGCCATATCCCGATCCGGAAGGTCATGCAGAGGCCATGTTCTCAAACTCACAGTGAACAAAGAAGACGAATAACTCATTTTTGTTGGTATGATTGTCAACAAAATGTTAACTTTCAAGCCCTTGTAAGCTGATTTTTAGACGATTTTGTTCAACATTCTTTTAACATCATACGAAATATGTCATCTGCTCTCAGACAATGAAGATCCGGTCTTCGATACCTGTCCATCTGATATCACACTCAATGAACCACTGGAGAGTTTCGTCAACTTCACTATCATGGTCAACTGGACACGACCCGGGGTGACCGACAACGTTGGCGTGGTTCGATTGGATGAAACTCATGAACCAGGCAGTGTCTTTGGCATTGGCAGTCACCTGGTTACGTACACAGCCTACGATGCTGCTGATAATATGGCTACTTGTCAGTTCAACGTCATTGTGAATGGTAGGCTCGTTTATTATGCTCCTCTACTCACATTTGTGAACATTTATGCTTTAGGTCTATGTACAGAGACTCAAAAGGCAGTAGTAAATTTTGGTGAAACATATCTGCAAAAATGAATGTAATGTTGAGCACCTGTCACCTTCGCATTATCTGATAGGGCTTGCACCTGACGAAAAAGATGTACCACCTAAATTTGAAGTACACCTCAGAATATCCAAATATTTGTACTTGCACATTTCTCATTGATACTTGTTCTCCTGTCACTCCCACAGACGTGCAGCCGCCAGTTATTACCGGCTGTCCCGTGAACCTTCCTAGGTTCCCAACGGACCCCACTCGGGATACAGCCAGAGCATTCTGGGATGAACCTCAAGCTTCAGACAACTCGGGCAGCGTAACTCGGACCTCTAACTATGACGTTGGTGATGCGTTCCCTGTCGGAGATACCGTGGTGGTGTACACGGCAGAGGATGGCAGTGGTAACACCGTCAACTGCAGCTTTGTTGTCCAGGTCTATGGTAGGTGAAAAAACCAACCATTAAACCTCGGTCTTAATAATATGTATTACATGACAATGAAAGGATTTCGCTGTTTGATTAGAGTTCTGTTTCGCTCTTAAATACATGTACAATGTTCATGTTATCTCATACCATGTTTTACCAAACACTGACCAATCACCAGCTATTCATGCAAGCTGTCAGTCGACATACGAAAATGTGTTTGACTTCCTTCATCAATAATTAGGACTACCTTCTAGAGTACCTACCACGTCTTATGAACGTTCTTGTACCACAGATAATGAGCCTCCTGCATTTACTGGCTGCCCCTTCCAAGGAGTCACCAGTGACACAGGTCTGCAGAGCGATCGTGGAGTAGCTTCGTGGTCAGAACCACAAGGCACAGATAACGTGGCGGTAGCCAATGTACAGTCAGACTACCGGCCAGGAGATAGCTTCCCATTGGGTGCAACTGTCGTCACATACACTGTGACTGATACCGCAGGATTGGTCGCCGAATGTGCATTTACGATTACCATTTCGGGTAGGTGTAAGCGCGCAATGAGCTCTTTTTGCTGGCACCATTGGCGATGATGTAGTGATTTCCGGAGTGATTTTTTTTAAAGATAATGCCACATTTGTTGTTTTCCCCAATAACAGATGGTGAGAATCCCAGCTTGACCAACTGCCCAGCGAGTTTCACTCTAACGGTGGAGTTAGCCACAGACACAGCCGTTGCAGATTGGATTCCGCCGACTGCCTTGGACAACTCCGGCACAGTGACCCTGTCTACGACCTTTGAACCCGGCCAGTCACTTTTGCCTGGTGAATACAGCGTGACGTACACCGCCACCGATCCGGCAGGCCGGACAGCAACATGTCCTGTCTTCACTATCACTGTGGAACCAAGTAAGATATTTTGCTCTTGCCGACTGGATCGAGTCCTGCCACTCGTTTTGACGAATACAATTGACACATGATTTTCACATACTGATGTCTGTCTGTATGACACGTTCACTGTGGCTCCATATGATGCTGATCGAGCGTGATGCAGAACGGGCTAGAGAGTAAGATGGTTGAAATGGTTGAAAGGAATCAGTCTGATTTAATATAGGCCCTGGTGAATCTTAATTTGTTTTACGATGCGATGTTCTTCCATTGATTCTGCTTTGCTTCCAGATCACAATGAATGTTCTCTGCCAGAAGTCATGGGGGAATGTTCATCTCGAGGATTGACATGTGTCAATCAGCTGGAAGGTTACACATGCGACTGTCCCACCGGCTTTTTCAAGGCTGGAAACTCAGATACCTGCCTGCGTACGTATGATGATTTCTCGTTCGAAACCCCTGAAAATAATTCAAGAGAAAGTGGTCCGACAACTTTGGCCCACAAGGGTATAGACCAGTATAAAATAAATTACTACCGAGGCAAATGATAAATAGGCCTACCCTCTGTTCTAACAATCAGAACAAACACCCAAAGTCAAATCCCGAAGCCCATTGCCAAGTTGGAAAATAAGCCTTCCACTTTACTGTAAGATTCAGCACCTTTGGGGTCAAATGTCATAATGATTTCTCAAAAAATACAACCTCAGTGTTCAGTTCTAGTAGTCTGGAACCCTCCTCGAGTTTTTCACAAACACTGAAAATGAAGGCCCACAAACCTCTCTACCATGACAAGCGAAGACATCACAAACATTATTCAGTCAGCATAGGCATTTTAGGTCATTTTACACAAACTTAATTAAGGCCGTGAAACAAAAACATAAGACATTGCAGAGGTATGATGAAGCCGCCCCTGATTGTTTCGAAAAAAAAAAATGGCCAAGCAATCCATGTGTAAAACAGAAAAACGGAGTGTTTAAACCCCAAATCTACAAAACTTTAACTGCATTTATAATTATAATAACCTAAAAAAACATACAAAGTCCTGATTTTTTTAACAAACAGAAGGAAGAATGTTTCGTTTTACTTTCGTCATTGTGGAGATCAGCAACAGCCCAGCTGTATTCACTAACGACCTCACTGATCCCACCTCAGTTGCGTTTCTTTCACATCAGAGACGCCTTGAGAACTTGGTAAGAGACTTAAGAATTAAGAGTCCACTTTGGATAATGGCCGTGGACGTTTGTTGCCTCGATTTGGTCTAATTGGTTCAACATCTTAGAATTTGTTAAGGTCAGAATTAACGGCTAAGTTGGAATGTGCTCCGAATTACCGATAATGACCAAGTTGCTCACATCAAGTTAAATAGTAATTGAAAGTAGAATAACATCAGTCTTTTCTCTAAATGTTTCGTTTCTGTGTTGTTGTAGTTCAGTATTGCCTTCGGCAATCTATCCGAGTTCGGCCGCATCATTGTCTTGTACTTCTTCAGTGGTAGCATAGGTGTGGAAGCATTGATTTCAGTCAACGGGAACTCCACGGCCAACCAAACGGACGTGGAAAATTCCATTGATGCCGCCATCTCAGCAGATGATTTATTCTTAAATTCAGAATATAAGGTCACCCCCAGCGCCACTACCTTTTTGGAAGGTACGTGGTAGGCTTATAAGTATAGCTGTTTTAGGCCGTAGTCTTCAAAGACGACTTGCTATAATAGTTAGGATGATACTACAGACCTACAATGGATCAGGTATTAAACTGTGTGTATATACGTTACTGACTGAATGAGAGGCATAAATAATTAGCATTGCAATGATAATCAGACTCTACCAACAAATTAGCGTACGTAATTGTTTAGATTCTTTAAACATGTACAAACCGTCACCGAACAGCTTTAATGAAAAAACTCCCTTTGGGGGAAAGCAAGTCAATAAATAAAACTCTATTACTTGTAAAAGAACTTGAAACTTTTAAATGTAAGTTGCAATTGAACGATTATAAGTAACAACTTTCAGTATGTGCGCATAATGGTTATCGGTGAGTTTAATGATAGCCTTATGATTGTGCAGGATGATGACCGTTGACTTAAGTGGCGCATCTATTCCTTTGTGTTCCATAAAAAAAAATATATATATCTTCTTGTTGGCATTTTTAAGGGTGGTTGGTGCCCTTTTGGCTTTTATGCAAATCCGAATTTCCACACTCGTGAGCAAAACTGTGATATCATTCAGGGCGGAAACTTCAATTTCACATCTGTTTCAGCATAATAGTCATCAAATTCCATCTTATAATAATAGTCATCAGAATATTTACGGGCTTGCCTTGGTTATTTTTCCTGTCAGTGGTTCATTGTCGTTTCAGCATGACAGCAAATCAATGAGAAAACAGTATACACAAAACGATTTCGGATTTGAGTTTACAATTTGAAGAGAAAAAATCCTAATAAGAAGGGTGTGTTACTGAAGTGACAGCACAGCAACAGCGCCCTCAGTTGTCAGGAAAAGCATGGAACATTTCAAACGTTTAAAAGGTGCACTAAAACGTTTACCCAAAAGGGTTGTTCTACAGTTTCAACACATTTCAGAGGACTAGATATTTGCTACAATTAAGTTTCAGTGTACAATTCATTTCATAGACACTTTAAAAAAAAAAAAATTGGCATCTTCGAATCAGACGCTTGATGGCGCTATGCATTATGAATTCTTGATTCTTTGTTTCTTTCATTTCGACAGAAGTTTGCCTGGATGGGTTCTGTGACAATGGAGGAACATGCCAACCCAATGCTTCCAGCTACCTCAGCTCCTGCGTGTTCGTATAACCTGGTTTATTGCACTTAAGTGGCTTTCAAACATGTGAATGGCACAATACATAATTAACTTAGATTACCCTCCATCAATCAATCCTATAGTAGAAACAAAAAGATGTTGGAGTGTAGTATTTATTTGTTAAGAAGTAGGAAATGTTGAGTGGTTTGTTTTTTTAGAGCATTGGCAAATAAACATGGGACAGGTTGTAGCCAATTCCATCACAAGGCAAATCATAATTATGATCCAAAAGTCAAATCCCAGTCAAATTACAAATCAAATCAAATCACAAGTTTAATCATTAGTCGAATTGCAAGTAGATCCACTAGTCTGATTGGAAGTCAAATTCCATGTCCAATCACAACTAAGGTCATAATTTACAATTAGGGATTAACTGGACCTACAAATGCCCCGGTCCACAGTGACACTTGATTTTAGACTTTTGATGACTTATCAGAATTATAATACGATTTCATGGTGGCAAACACAAACGAAATATACTATGTTAGGTCCTCCATGGAACGTTTTGCTGCAAAGGATGTTAATTCTCAGTCTAACTTCTCAGTTCCTTATTGAGTGGTCGGGCACAACCCGACCACTCTTTGGATCTGTTACGATTAATCTTTCTTTCTTTCTTTTTTTTTTTTTCCGGACAATACTTCTCCGCGGGTTTTCTCTTAAACGGTATATGGTATGAACTTGTAACTTTCAATATATATCGACCCTCATCCGAAGTGGTGCATATTACTCTGACGTCACGATTACGTCATCGGGTGTCAAATTACACGCGATTTTAGAGGAAAAAAGGGCCAAATACTTTCATCTATAACTCTTAAACAAAATGATCAAATATGTTCCAACTTTGTAATCAGATAGACCATTAGGTGATCAACACTTTTTGTCGTGTACGTGAACTCGCTTGACCTTTACTTCCGGGTCCACCGGAAGGTCAAAGTTACGTGAATTGAAAATGAAGACTTTAGCCTGAAATCAAAACAAAGCACAATTTCTTCCACACGGTTTACGGTATGATCATAAAACCTACTGTGAACTTGTACCATGTTACGAAGATAGTATAACTGTTGTTACGTCATCATGACGTCATCAGGTATCAAATTACAAGCGATTTGATTGCACGATTTGACAAAATACTTTGACCTATATCTCTTGAACTAAATAGGGTATCGTGTTCGTTTTTTCGTGAGGTTGTAGACGGTGCCTTGAGCAACATTTATTATTCCCGGGCACAAAACTGCTTGACCTTTACTTCCGGTGTTACCGGAAGTGCAATAGAAACTGAATCTAACTCTAAAACGGAAGCATTTCCGTACAGACAAATACATTATGGAAGTGTTAAGTGAGGAATGCCAATCACAAAAACATTATTTTGACGTCATCCACGAAAGGGCGCCCTCCAGCGGTACATGGAAAACAGTTTAATCTTTTAAAATGTTAAAACCCTCAATCAAATTTTTATGATATAATTGCCCCTATATATCCCGTGAGCAACCACAAATGAATTTGCAAGGTTTCATAATCATGACGTCATCAGACCGGAAGTTACTGTAGGGAGAATTCAACAATGACCATTTTATGTGTTAAGTTAAATCCATCATTTGATCCCTGTCTCATGACTTTGTTTTTTGCCCCCCCCCAAAAAAAATGACATCTGTTACACTTTATATTGACCTTTTGCTTCCAAATACTGTGACGTCATCAAACTGGAAGTTAGCTGTTATTATTACATACACTTAATTTCCATATTTCCATGCGTTATTTTTACTTAATGATTAACAAGTGTCCTCCCTTCCCTGTTTTGACTGATGACGCCATCAAACCGGAAATAACTTGTACTCAAACTGTTTACTGAAATTTATCACACCTTAAAAGACGCATTATTTTTGTAAAAAATAATTGGTACTGGAAATGTTGAAGTTCTTGGTCCTTTTTTTCTGACATAAACATATTCATAACTTAATTGGACAATATCTAATGAAATGGTTGTCTACCCGACCACTCTGCGTTTGTAACAACAAACGCGAACCTCTAGTTTGTATTTGTATTTTTAGATGCTCACGCAGCGACTGCAGCGTATTGACTTAACGTGCCATTCTGTGAATACATTTTATATTAAACATAATAATGATGGTTTCATCTTTCAGGTGTCCTGCAGGTTTCAGTGGAGACAGATGTGAGACAGTGAACGGTACGGGTAACCTTACTACCTTACTACCTTGTTACTAAAAAAAGGCTTAAAACACCTTTATCATTTAAATTTTGATATTTTTTTCTCATGAATAACGCCACCACGATTGTGTTAAAAAGTGGCCTTTAAAAATATATGTGGCCTTTAAAAAAGAGTCACATTTTGGGAGTAATGACTGCATAAACTTTTTTCCTGAAGCCAAAAACTATTAGTTAAGTCGGAAGATAGGGTTCCCATGCACCCCCTGGATATATTTTTTTTTTACCTGCTTTTTGTAATCCTTAGGATGTCTAATGAATGAATTTTGATGTTCCCAAGATCAAATATTGTCCCTTGGGGTTCATTTGGCGGCCATATTGGCGGCCACCTTGGATTTCGAAAAAAATCGGTTATTGACATAACATTTGAGTCAGGCATCATAGGAAGACCAATGAACACATTTTTTTGAGTAATTTGGGTTTGAGGAATCGATTGAAGGCTTTGTTTTTTATAATTTGGCGGCCATCTTGGATTTTGACCAAAATCGGCTATTTGACGTCATTTTTGAACTAGGATCATGGGTAAGTAAATGGACATGTTTTGGGGGGTAATTTGGGTTTGAGGAATCAATTGAAAGTATTATTTTCATAATTGGGCGGCCATCTTGGTGGTCATCTTTGATTCCGACGAAAATCGGTTATTTGACGTAAACTTTGAAATAGGCATCACAGGAAGACAAGTGAACACGTTTTCGGGGGTAATTTGGGCATGACATATCGAATGAATATACATGTATTTTTTTAATAATTGAAACAAGTTAAAAAAAACCTTAAAAATTATAATTTGCACTAAGAATCTTGCAAAACACTAATCTACATGTATTCCAAAGTCCTAATAATGTTCCAGGGGTTAAAGGGTTAGGATGTGCTGGGGTGGAATGGAGAAAATAGAGCTGTTTCATTTCCATGGAAGTTTCCCATTGTAAAGCACAGCGTCTCACCATTAGCCTCTCACCAAATCCTACTGTCTGGCTTCTCGTGCCAACCCTGTTTCTGCTGAATGACAGATAGTGTCAGCGAGTCCATGGTACTATTATACAAGGTTGCTCCGGGTAGGTGGAACTCATTAGAATTGGTTGTCTGTCCACCTAGGTGAAGGACAACTCTGATCACAAACCCTAAACAAAGTTTCATAATCAATCTCTTTATGCTCTTCTAATATTGATTCTCCGCTTCCACAACAGTTTTCTGCTGTAAGTCAATGAGTGATGGATGGGCCACATCACCATACTGGCATGATTATCCCCCACCGCGATATATAAATATGCTATGATTGTTAGTTAACTATCACCATTTCCAGCTAATACTAAAGATTAAGCCTACACCTTAATTTGTCTTTCATGATGCCTAGTTCAAAAGTTATGTCAAATGACCAATTTTCGTCGAAATCCAAGATGACCACCAAGATGGCCGCCCAATTATAAAAATAATGCTTTCAATCGATTCCGCACACCCAACTTACCCCGCAAAACATGTTCATTTGTCTTCCTATGATGCCTGGCTCCAAAATTATGTCAATAACTGATTTTTGTCAAAATCCAAGATGGCCGCCAAGATGGCCGCCAAATGAACCCCATGTGACAATATTTGATCTCGGGAACATCAAAATTCGTTATCTAGACACCCTAAAGATTACAAAAAAGTATATCCAGGGGGTGCATGGGAACCCTATCTTCCGACTAGACAACTCCTTTCGTTCAAACTCATTTAAACAATTATTCGAAAACATGTGGTGAACGTTTCTATGGTAGTTATCTCGGCCGGCTGTTACTATTCCGGTATTTAGTCATGCAACCTCTAATAATGTGTCGCGATTGGTTCACAGATACCAGCCTCTCATCTGCAGCTATTGTGGCCATTATCGCGAGTATCCTGGGTCTTCTCTTTATCGTTATTCCTACCGGTATGCTCGTGTTTCTGACGATGACGAAAAGAGCAAGGCTGGCTTGGTGGAATAGGCAACAGAGCGCCACCACGCGCCCATCTGAGCGGCGCAAGGCAATGTACGAGTCCCCACACCCTAGGATATACCTGGTGAGAGCCTATAGCTGCCGTTTTTCTTTTCTGCAATCTTGTTGGGTTATTTTACCGTACAACTACTCTTGGTCCTAGACTGGATCTCATTTCCATAATGGACCTCTATCAAGCTGCCACCATTTTAGTAATGTTCCCTGTATCCAATAACCTTATGGTAACGTGCGTAGCCAATCGGCTTCCCTAGCCCTGACAGGTCTTATGACGTCGGCACCTGCGGTTGAATGCCACAGCTCTGGTGATGCTTGCAGTTGAGCCCTTCTACACCTCAGTGGTAGTGTGGATTGATTTGGTGTTGATTTGGGGTGGGGTGACCTAGTGGATTGGGTGGATCACGGGTGGATTTAATGTGGATCACTGTGGATCACAATCATCAATAAATGAGGCGTAGGAGATTTGTTTGACTTCCTTGGCCCCACCTGATCAATTGTGAGTTTTATTCTCATCAGCTCTGCCTTTTATAGGCCAACATCCCTATAGTCTTGTACACACGTACTTAACTCTATACAAGAGGATTTGACCAATCAGATATCAGTATAGGTGACTAAGGACATGCCCACTCAACAGTGCTATTGGCTCATACAGTTGAGACCAGGCAGACTGTCACAGACTTTGTCACAGTATTGTGAATGACAACGTTTTGTGCAAAAAGGAACCAGACTATTTTTCCTTCTAGCTTCGCTTTGGTAACGTTTATTTGAATGAAAAAATCAAAATGGCCGCAACAAGATTCCCTGCAAACTAGATGAACCAAATCGTGTCCCGGGTACTTCGGCAGCACTACGCAGGATTCGCTTGAATTCAGCTTAAAAGCCCTTTTGAGGATTATTGAATTGGAATTTATTTCAGAACAATCGGAACTAGTAAGAATTTTGTTCGATCTAAAGGGAAGAGTAAAAACACAATTTTACGCTGTAGTGCGGCGTTTTTGTTGGTGTTTGATTTGTTACGCTTTTTGTGCCAATCCTAGATATCCCACGTTAAATATTAAAAATTAATTGGGTCTTACTTGCGTCTCATATTTTGTGCATTGTTTGTGTGCACATAATGTGCATTATTACAGAACAAAGGCTTCAGACCGTCCTTGTCGGAATTTACCATCCCTTACATGGCACGGTCCGGGGAGGCGGACATTCCGGTAAGTGAGAGATCCAATTACATATTCAGCAGATAGAAGATATGAAAACAGTGGCCTCAAGGACGTTAATACATTGAGGATGAGGTCAGGATATTTCCCTGACACATTTTGGTGACCGGAATTGAGCCGTTGGATCACACACCATCCCCACCTCTGCATTGTGTATCTAAAAACAGACTGATTGACATAACCAACCATTGGTTGAAACAATATGTGTCCAACCAATCGGATTGGTTGGACAGTGACATTTTAACCAATATTGGTTATTTAAACCAATGTGTTTTTATAGCGGACAGGCAGTACAGTCACTGTGTGGACCTCCGAGCAAAACATGTCCACACAGTGCAGGTCGTGCATACGTTGTGTGGACTTGCCCACGTCGACACGAGGTTCCCCTCTTTGAAAAAAAAAATATTTTAGAGACATTAATTTGTGGGTTTTATCCGTTGTAAAATGAAGAGGAGCTCTCAAGGAAATCATGATCACACATTTGGGTTGAAAGAGTGTTCATAGTGCGAGTATACAAAGACGTTTTGCCCGATTTTTCTTAACTTAACTACACGAAAAGAAGGAATATCGACTTTAGGTGTGTAAGGTGAACGTGTGCTCTTACGAGAACTACCTTATGGGGTACTCACACAAAGGGAACAGTGGTACCCCATTATGCATCACAAGTGCGTGTGTTTGTAATTACGTAAACACCAGCAATCGTGGACCTAGGACAAAAGGGTAGAATGCGTCCATGATCGTGTACAAAACCAATGAGAGCTGTTGCTTAAAAGTTAAATACAAACAAAGGAATGAGAATTACGGAGAAATGGGGCTCCACAATCGCCGGTGTTCATGAAGATGTGTTTGTTTATGGTGTAAATCGAGGACACACACGTGCAACATCATCGGTGAAGCAAGGACAGGAACCAAATCGAGGACGACCTCGATTAGAAAACGTGTACAAAACCAATGAGAGCTGTTGCGAATAAGTTGTAATACAAACAAAGGAAAAGGGAGAAAGAACAAAAGAAGATCCTCGATTTACACCTGTATGTGTGCAAAGGGTGCTCGGCCGCTCCTGGACCGTGACTCGTCCCAATTAAAACATGTACGTACATTGAGTTAGCATAATCTTGATCTTGAAATCATTTATTTTGTTCATGCAGCTTCGCCAGATGATGTCAAGAGACGAAAGCATTTATTACTAAGCTCATAATTGCTATCGGCGTGAACTGAGGGAAAAAATCCTAACTTTCTAAAATATAAGTAGAGTATACATTATTTGGGTTGTTTTTCACTCGAACTCAGGACATTTCCAATGGCAATGGTGACCTCATTTGTGACCTCCACTCTCATTGGATAGGTTTGGTTCAAACTTTGACCAAGCTGCAACGCGGCCAGCGCAACTAATTATTCCTGCTTTGCTCTTGACAGTAATGTATCAACATGCTTTGCCGCCTCGCGAACCACAAAAGATTTAGAAGAGAACAAGGTCGGGTCCGAAACACTTGGCCTACGGTCGGATATATTAACACACGAGTCTACGGGGAGTGGCTGCAGCCGCTAGCCAGTGGCTTTCATAGGTGCGCGTGTTATTTCCGGCCGTAGCCAAGTGATTCGCATATACAGCCTTAGAAATCACCAACGCACTTACTAGCTAGCAATTTTTATATACAGCCTGTCTAAAAAAAAAATGGTACAATCGAAAACGATTTTTTTTTTCATTATTAAATCTCAACATAAGTAAGTCGTTTTGAGCATCACATTAAAGGAAAAAGACCAGGCTTGCAATACTTTTCGTTTCATCTCATTTGCTTTTGTCAATCCAGAGATAACTCCAGTTTACTGCGGAACACAAAAATCGAGTTTGTTTCTTTTGCCAAGTTGCAATCTTTTGTGAGCTTCAAGACAGCATGGCACAGAACTCGAAACAACTCTGCCCATGCATAAAAGTGGCACAAAATCGATTTTGGTGTATCGCACTAAATTGATTATATCTCTGAATTGACAAAAGCAAATAAGATCAAACAAACACTATTGGAAAGCCCAGTCTTTGTTCTTTAATATTATGCCAAGTAAGAATGACTTATTATGAAATTTCGTTTTTAACACTTTTTTTTCTGATTGTACCATTTTTTGAATAAGACAGGCTGTATATACATATATATTTTTGGTTGGGACCAAAAAGATACATTATAAATAAAATTACGTAAAACTGGCCAAAAGATTCAGTCAAAATGTGCCAAAAGAAGTATCATTTTCTGCTTTGTAAATTAAAAACTACGTACGATGTCATACTGAAATAAAACATTTTAAGCATTGGTATTGCCATCAACTGTAATATTAATTGATGTAAAAGCGTGTCCCTAAATTTTGACAAGGGATGTTTTTAAAGCTTCATTGTGCCATTTTGGTCCTATATTAGACTGGAACACCGCCGCTAAATTAAAGGGGATAACAAAAGATCCTTTCAGTCCTCCAGTGTTGGGTCTTTTGTTGAAAACAGTCCTCGATCGTACGGTTATGTGCTTAGTCTATGGGAAAGTATTTTATTACAGACGCAAAGGGAAGCACAAAGCATTGTCCTCGAGCGTGTAGAAATTCACGACTGTGTGTGTAGTTGGGGCAGAGTATATATATATATATTTTTAGTGTTATGAGATATTTATGTATTGTAGTGACAATTTCGTGGGAGATTTTTTGAATACATGTTAATTTTGTTTTATGGTATCTTGAATATATATTTGTATAATGGTATTTTTTATGCTTAAATCTTTATAACATTAATATTAATGGTTAGGCATTTTAATCCTAGGACGGTCGCTATACTGGTTGTATCAAAAAAGGTAATCCAAAATTAATCGCTATAGAAAAGCTAGAAAAATGTTGAAACTCAAAGTGGTTTCATCTTATATGTTACATCATTAGCTTTTAATTGATACCATAATTACACCTCTTTTTAATCACAGATGACTGAACACCATTGCTTGCAACACAAATGCCCAAAAGCCTCTTTTACAAGTGTAACGATACGGTTTTTGGATTTCAATTATGAATCATTCATAAGGAGCATGAATAATGCGATGACCATTTATGGCTGTTAATTTCAGTGTACTTACCCAGCGAATGTAACGGTCCTAGTAGTGAATAAGTTCAGACATAATTATGTTCGTCGATATTCATATCAAAGTCAATACTTCTTCTGAGCCATTTTTTGCACGACGAGGGGTTGTAGTCATTGCTATCCGCTCCGTTCACAAGTACCCCCTCACCGGCAAAGAAAGTACAGTTGGGGATGACCGAACGACGCCATCCAGGGCCAAGTTCGGGCAAGGACCATTAGTCGACTAGTGGTTGATCTGTGACGTACCTTACGCCTGCGCACTAATAGCAAAGTGCGAACGTCTCTAGTCGAACGCTGGTCAAATTGTCATTGCAAAACGTCTGGATCCTGGCTCCCTGCTGTACGTTATGAACGCGCGCGGCTATGGTTACCAGCGAAGCAACCAACCCCAGTAGGCTGGTTCCAAATAGTCGACTAGCGTAGTCAACCATCGTCGACTAGACAGAGTTTGGGCAAGCGTTAGTCGACCAATGGTTAACTATAGTCCTTGCGCGAACTTGCCCTTGCTATGCCTGACTGCAATATTTTGCCGCGCCGCGAAGCGCGACCACTGCGTGTAGTACAAATCCCGAGGTGTACGTGCATCACACACAAGAAACGGTGCGCGCGCGTCAACCAGCGAAATGTATATATGTGTCCCGCCCATGGGACGTCGTTGCTAGGTAAAATGGCGCCCTCTTTTGTTGGCGCACGGTAACGCTCACATGGTTCTGGCCTCTTGTGAGCCGTGAAACTCAGCAGAACGAGCCAAACCTCACCTAAAAAATCGCCCACTTTTCTCTCATTCTTGGGGTAAGTTTGAGTCCAATCAAATATTGAGTTGATATTGTGAGGGACATAGAAGAGGTTGATTGATATGAATATTGTCAAACTGATTGATTCTTATAGTTTTTAGGGTGTTACTAGTTTTGTATGAAAGTCCGTTTTCGTATACATACACTGCACGATGCGTTATATACTGGCGACATTGAGTTTAGCATTGTGTACGTAGTGTGCGTATGCACGACACAACGTTGAATCTCGCTTTGTTTAATATAGTTGTTCATATATGTTGCATTGTTAACGGGTGCACGGGACGATCGACCTTTGAGGATATTTCCTTAAATATATGCCGTATATGCTATTGTATTGTTGTGTATTTTATTTTATAGCTGAGACTGTTGAGCCTCAAGCTTTGTCATCTCAAGTGCAGATTTGTTACTACATTAGGTCTTCTCTATTTTATATCAGGGTAAGACTGTGCTTCTCTTTGTGTACTTGATTAATCATGCATCATATTTAGTACTAGTTTTAGTGCTCATGACACCTGCCTACATAAGAACTATTTACTCTTTTATTTATAGTGTATAATTAGAATACCTACAGTGTATAATAACATTGATTTAAATGAGTTTGGAGAAGACCAATAGTTTTATTCATAATCAACAGGGTCTTCATTCGTGTCTTATTTGGATCTTTATTTGGATTATTTTGTGTAATTGGAGGAAGTGAATTAAAGCTATAGTCCATCATTTGCAGCAATCCGAAAAGTAACTGGCGTAATTATTGTTGAAAAACAAACTTGGTTGAAAGATAGTAAGGGAACTAAACTCCCTGTGAAATTATTCCTTCTGGGAAGCTGTCATTTTGAAGTAATCAACGAAAGAAGGCATTTCCAACGGTGATTCTTAAAGCTATAGTCCATCATCTGCAGCCATCCGAAAAGTAACTGGCGAAATTATTGTTGAAAAACAAACTTGGTTGAAAGAAAGTAAGGGAACTAAACTCCCTGTGAAATTATTCCTTCTGGGAAGCTGTCATTTTGAAGTAATCAACGAAAGAAGGCATTTCCAACGGTGATTCTTAAGAAGCACCGTAGGAAAATTTAAATTAGTAGTTCGTTTTGTTATTCAGCGCAGCGCGCACAAGTATTGGAACGACGCACACGCGCGCACTGTTGTTATAATTCGTCGGATCAGTGCGCTACGTCGCGTATAGCTGCAATTCAAAACAATTCAAAACATGATTCAGTAACTTTTGATTTGAAATTGAGATCTTAGAATGCTGTTTTTCTCGGAATTTACAGCTGAAGCTTAGCTGAAACTTCATCAGGTTAGTTGTTCAGTATCCTTCATTAGATTTTGAACCCTTTTGTTGCTTCAAACGAACCAAAAGCACAAATTACAAATGATGGACTATAGCTTTAAAATGAAACTTGATCAAGTGATTTAGCATTAACAACCGTCTGAGTGTTCAAGTTCTACTTGCTGTCCACCTTACTCTATCTTCATGAGGTTGAACCTGACCACCCTACATCATCGCTGGGGTTGCCACCTCGCGACACAGGTTCACTGAAATATGTGGTGAATTAGGCTGCAAGAAGAACGCACTGTCGCAGCTGTGGACATTGCGTGAAAAGGGCTAGGCCTACGCTGGAGAAGTTGTTGCTTAAAATGGTTCCTTATGTTTTCCATAAAAGTAATCATTCCAATTAAAGATGTTGTTTTGACACGTTTTTTTCACTGGACTCTTTGCCTCCATGAAATCAAATGGGGGGGGGGGAACCATCTTCGAAAATACGGGGCGCTCTTCAAAACCAGCCATTATGCAAACTGCGCATAATGTGCTCATTTTCAGGGCGCATTGTAAGGGGTGTGGGGCTTGGTTTTTCCTCGTTCATATCGGAACTCGCTATACCTTTTTGGGAAATGTTACTGAAAACAAATTATCCGAAATTTTAGGGCCAGTTTTGTTTTTAACTCGAGGAGGCACATTTATGCTCGAGGGGCACATTTATGTCCACAAGAGGGGCACTTGGGTAAATCTTGGAGAAGGGGGGGTAACCACTGCCCCCCCCCCCCCGTGCCACTGCCCCTGCGATCACTCAAAATATACTTTTTGTAAAATTCCCGAGATTTCCCTAGACAACGGACAAGTATTATGCTTGGGAAAACCCCCGAAATGGTTACCGTGAAGCGGCGAGCGAACGCACGAAGCGTGGGCTTGGCTGGTTCCCGATTCACAAATCCTCAGTGCTATGACTTTGAATGTTAGTAGCATTGGGAAGGCGGGAACTAGACTAAGCCGTAATAGAATTTAAAAAAACTAGTTCAGCAGCGCGTGCATACGCGCGGCCTTACCTGGAGGGTCCATAGATGCGCGCCCATCACTACCTGCTCTCTCACCCTGGTATTGGATCATTTGCATGTGCAAGATTTTTGAACACCTATGCAAATGAGGAATAGTCTGGTGCCTGCATGTACGTTACATTAGCGTTTGTTTTTGTATGCGGTGTCTGGGGTAAAAACAGTGTCAATTCGTCGCAGCGTGAGCGTGGCGCACGTACGTGATAATTATCTCGTGCGCACGAGATATTATGTCGCGCGCACGAGATAATTATGTCGTGCGCACGAGATAAAAAAATTATTTGGGATGTCCCTTTAGGGGCTCCGTACAGACCGCATTTTCCCCCACAAATTTGATGTTGTGGTCACGTCGATGCCAACTTTCAGCAAACAGTTCACTTCTGCACTGCATGAGTCTCTCTTGGAAATGTGATTAGGCCTAAAGTCGAAAACCTTTGTCACAAGGTCCTTAAGAATTTAGGAATCACCTTGTGTTTAGTGTCCGTTAGTATGACGTCACAGGACACATGGATTGGTCTTTAGCACGGGTAGTAGCTCATTTTTTTAAATATAATTTCAAGTTACGAAATTATTATTTAAAAAACGTTACCAACATTTTCTCTTTGAAATGTTTCTAACGATATAAATATATTGTTATCGAAAGGATACCATTATTGCTTT